TTATATAAAAAGGGGCTTCACCTCTTTATGGAGTGTGTCCAATCCTTCTATAATGATGTTCATGTTTAAACTATTCAGAAATAATGTTAAAAAGGGAGGATAGGTGTTTGTGAATGTTTAGATAGGTTTCATTGCAATGGGTTCAGAAAAGAGGAGATCTGAAGGTAATGTTTCTCGAGTAGCCCGAACAACAAAGTGTTACTAAAAATATTGCACAGGTGAGCATATTTGTTCACGTGATGATACGTGTTTCATAAAATTTGATAATGGTTCAGTGACATTTTTATGTCATTTCTAAATACTATAAATTTCAAATTCTGTTATAAAATGTAGATTATGTGACTAATTTTACGTCATTTGTTTACGTCACAATATTTTTCAGATATAAATGTCTCATCGCAGACGTGACTTGGGAATATACATGAAACTTAAATAGATAGTTGTGGTTAAGAAATGATAACTTAAAACAACGTGTTTATTAATCACTCTAATTTATAGTCGAATTTTGGGATTACAGTGCACTTGGTGATTATCTGAAATTACAATGCGTCTTTGAGGGATTAGTAAAACTACTCTAGACGCTTTACACGTCAATGCGATATCAAATATAGACAAATAAGAAAATTTGCAGCAGCTTTATAGTTACATGAAAAAAAATATTGAAATTAATGAGTCCCCTCTGTCATTATATCGCTAGTAATATCAGCATTGCCGTCAAACGTATTTTTTATATGAAACAGAAAGAACTATGTCATTTGGTCTCTGGTAGTAGTTATACCACATCCTCATATTTTTATATTGTAAAGTTTTCGTGAGAAACGCACAGATTACACGTTCTTTTCCTTAACTTAAATAACTGATGTTTAAAGCAACGTGAAACCAGCTTTTGTAGGATTTTCAGTTTCTAGTTTCGCTAATACGTGTCTTATGAAGCACAATCAAATATACATAAATATCATGTAATGGTTAAATATAATTATGTTAGAAGGGTATTTTTTCAATTTTATCATATCCAATTTGTATTTTAGCAAATGAAATATGTTTAAACTCAACGAAATTGCATGTACATGTATGATGGAATTAACTTTGGCTTACAAGTTCATTTTTTGGTTTGTACACGGCGTTCAAAATTATACAGAAAGTTCTAAACCGAATATAAATCATTGGTATTTGCTACTAAGTTTCCGAAGTAAAGTTGAACAAGTATATATATATATACAATGTTAGATCTGTAAATTTGCGGAAGCAAACTTTTTTGTTCTTCCCTGGCCGGGATTATATATATATATACTTAGTTATAACAAAGTTATTAGTATTATTTGGCTTTTTGAATTTGTAACAAATTATACTGTATATACTGTACAGTATGGTACAAATGAGAACATGAGTGTTTCCGACAAAAAATTACTTTCAATAAGCTAAAAGCATTCTGTACGATACTGTACAGTTATATTGATTTTGATTGATTTTTTGTGTTTTAACTCTACTTTTAAGCACCGCTTTTGGGCTATTTCGTGGCGGCCAGTTTTTATTGGTGGAGAAGGTGGAGTGCCCGGAGAATACCACCGACCTTCGATAGGAAAACTGACAATCCTAGTCAATTAAGATTGGAGTCGAGTGCACCCACACGAGCGGGGTTCGAACTCACAACCTCAGTGTTGACTGGCTAGTGATTACAGTAGTAACTACTTAGACCACGCGGCCACCGAGGCCCCTGTACAGTTATATACAGTATAATGTGTTACAAATTCAAGAAGCTAAATAACACTAATAACTTCGTTATTAATAAAGCAAATACTTATAGGATAGGGTGGTCAATGAGACAACTGTCCACCAGAGGCCAAAAGCACGTAGTTTGTATTTAATTGATGGTTCAATGGACCTCCATTTCATGCAAGCGGCTCGTTGCAACATCTATAAATTTATTTACAGTCAATATAAAGTTGTTTTCTCTTCCGTGAAAACAAGTGGCCAAGAGTTCAATGTAATTATGTCGACCTTTTAATCAAATAATCAGCTTGCATTGAAATTTTTAAACGAGCTGTATATCATTCAAGGATTCGGTTTTACACTAAGTTTAAATGGACATCCACAGATAGTTTAAATATACCATTTATAGTTTCTTATGGGATAATAGATGTTGGATTCATCAAAGGGATATCCAAGTCTCATAAATCGAAGAGAAACCAACAACACAATGGCAAAAAAAGGTTTTTCTAATGTGAGCAATTGCTTTCAGAATCTCGTTCCTATAACAATGGCGAAAAAGTTTCTACCGCTCATAACTGATAGTCAGATAGTATCATCTAACAGCGTTTTTGGAACAAAAGGTTGAAAATCTGTCAATTAAGTTCGCAAAATATACTAGAGAGGAAAAGGAATATCGTATAGCCTGTATTTCAGGTAATTCTGTGGTTGTCGTTCGTTGCTGTCTATCAAGTTTATTTTTCGTTATGATCTAATTAAAAATCAGGTCGTTAGTTTACCAACATTAAATATTTTGCACCGTGTTATGTCGGGCCTTTTAAAACTGACTATATAAAATTGGTTTGCTCATTTTTGAAGGCCGTACGGTAACCTATAGTTTCTTACATCCACACCATTCGGTCTCTGGTTGATACATGAAGTTGCCTTATTGGCAATCATTTCACATCTGTTTATTTTGACATCGAAATTATGATTCATTATACTCAGATATACTAGACGTATCCAGTCTTTTGATGAACTTACAATGATGTATGTAAACTGTTTGTACATGCCCGTGCTGTGGTGATCTGTGTGTATAAATACACTGGGTCCGTCAATAGTATACTAGTATACAATGTTTCGCCAACAATAAGAAGTTTAACCATATTCATTTTTTAATCAGAAAACAATAACAATTTGTAAAAAAAAAACACAAAATAAATATTGTCTGTCATCTTTCTGTATGATACTGTATCTAAACCAGGTACGGCTTAAAGGCAGCTGCATTGCATATGTATGAGATCGCACGTTTCTGATCTATACTTCATCCTGTTTAGTATCCATCTGGAATTTAAAAAAAAACTTTTCAGTTCGACATGCGAGATCATTTTTACTAAAAAAAAAGTATATCGGTGTCGTAAAATTTCATCAATAATACATGACAGCTTATTATAAAGTTCGCCAGACACGCGTTTCATTAAAAGACTTGCCATTTGCGCTCGAAACAAAATATTTTGAAAGCCAAAATAGCTATAAAGATGAAGAGCATTAAAAACCGAACATTCTAAAACGCTATTCCCAATCTGGCAAATGTTATCTATGCTTTCAAATTACCAGTTTTGTGACATAGTTGTTTTCATTTGGTGTATGGAGGTATCATGGTAAAGAATGTTTAATAGACTTGATGACTTCATTAATTATAATGTATGTATCATTGTATGAACTGAATTTATTTATCAACACCTATAAATTTGTTTTTTTTTTAAATTTCATCCGTAAATACTGAGTGCGTGCCAATATAAACGTAACATGTAAATAATAAAATTTCCTTTTAATATAAACCCATACTGACGGATACTCTCAAATAAATGTAGATGACCAATCGTTCTAAGATATTGATATGCCTACATACCATTTCATGCTATTTTCAGAGCTTTGGGGTTTTCATTTTTTAACGTTTATAAATACAAAATCCACATTATTAATAAAACGATTGACATTTACACTTTGAATAGAATATGTCTATCATATTTAACCCCTACAGTAAATGTTATCAGAGAGCAATGTTGATTAACAATTTCCCCTTGCATTGTGCTAGTATGGTCACCTTTGGACGAAAATGTACGAGTTTTGATTTAACTCCCAAGTTTCTGAACTGAAAAAGTTCGACGCACGCCCAAACTGCTAGACTAACGTGTAGCCAAATGTTTGAGGAGTGCATTGAATTTTTTTTTAAAAACACATTTGCATTATTATTCAAAAGTGAGCGAAAGGGCCATGGTTTGGTATATGATAAAAAAAAAAACTCATCATAGAAGCGTTTCTATTGGCACTCAGTATATAGTATCATCGGATTTCCGTTAAGCTTACAGATCGTTATTTGTTATTTCTTTAAATACCTTACGGACATATCACATCACAAATGTAGATCAAAATAGTGACGGAAATTCATATAGGTCATCACCAAGGGAACTTGCATGTTCTATTCGCCAATAAATCAAGCTGAGAACTGTGATATGTATATTTATACATATAATGTAATACATACTCATTTATACATAAATTTTACAATTTTTATTGAAAATACCTTTCTTTGTATCCTTGTTGGCAACGTTTATCTATTTTCTCCGTAAAAGTCTGTCATTTTGTATACAACCCCGTATCAGTGTACTGTACTTAAGATATACATATACATGTAGCATTACTAGTATCGACATCGAAAACAGACCTTTTTCTGGAGCTTGAACTATTTTGAACTTAAATTGAGAGTTGAGCTTTTGCTCTGCGTTGAAGGCATCACTAAGACTTTGAGAAGAAAAAAAATCCGGCGGAAATAAAAACAATGGTTCATTATTGTTGGGTTTTATAAAATGATTAATACAACACCCCAACACTTTCATTACTAAAAACCTGTTCAATTCATTTTGTTTTAATTTACCGTAGAACTCTATTGTATTTTCTGAAAAAGAACGTCCAATTCGTCTTTTCAGAATCTAAAAAAGTAGTAATTATTTCATCGTTTGTACCCAAAATAAAAATAACGCCACTTCATTGATTAAATTTCTTATGTTGCAAGTTTTTAACGAATCAGAACGTTTTGGTGTATTCTTTTGAAAAATATTACCCAGAATGCATTAGATCATGCAACGGCGCGTTTACTTAAAGAACTCAATTACGGTAAATATATAATGCATTAAAAATCTTTAGATATTCAGAATCCTTTATTTAGAATAGATAACAACTCGTTCTGATATTGAAAAGGCAGTCATAACTTATTGCACGAACATGAACATCATTACTGACCTGTTTAAACGGCACGTAAACCCATGACCCTTTTCAGAATCTTTGACCGTTAGCACTTCGCATTTGCTGAAAGAAAACAGGAAAATTGCATATATGTGGAGATTGCCAGTTCTGTTTTAATTGTTAAAGCCTTTTGTATATATTCAAATAAGTGGTAAAGTCAAAACAATATTCAATATACAAGAATGCTTGACTAACCGTTAAACATTTTAAGATCTCGACCACAAAACAAAAGATAAGATAAAACCTTTTTTGTATTTCATGTAAAAGACAAACAAGTTCATTGAGAGTTATTTAAAATCAAAGTACTGAAGTACTGAACATCGGATGACCACAAGTTCTTGAGGATGGTCAAATCCACTTGTCTCAGAAAAAAACAACATATCTCTTTACCTAAAACTGAGGTTAATGTACAGAGATATATATTTTTCTGAGACAAGTTCGTGCGTGGATGATGAATAAATGACAGGAAATTCAACTTCACCGTAATAACTATTATATTGTAGTGATACAAATCAGTATACACTGAGTTGTTGTTTATATTATATTAAAATAACAGTTACATATATATATGATTTGAATCCATTTGTATATCATTCTATTCTACTATTCTAAAAATAGTGCAATGCAAGTGCATGGTGGACACTTTTCTGTAAAAATTCGATTTTTCTAAGATTGGATACGAGTAGGCATTCATATTTTCCCGCAAAATCAATTACAGAGTTACCGGTCCTTGACGGTATTTTCACAAAACGTTCTTTGAGATATTCTTCCGCATGCTTTAACACAATTTTTCGGTACGTGTGCATTGATATTATCAATGATTTTTTACTTATATATATATATCTAACTACAAAACATTTTCATATTATTAATTTATGTTGTAAACAAAAATATTTTTATCAGTATTCATTGAAGAGATGTATTTATATCAAACGATAAGGAATGTTATTTTGCACTCGTTTATGTGCGCGTATTTATCATGTTTATAGATCGGTTACAAACCCAAAACTAATTTACATAATGGAAATCTAGGCGATAGCAATACATCGGGATGACCTCAAGGTCATCGCGATGTAAAAATCAATACAATATTGAGATTTAAAGTAATATATTGTTTTCCATTCCATTGATGTGTTAGAGCTTTTGATTTTGCCATTTGATAAAGGACTTTCCGTTTTGAATTTTTCTTGGAGTTTGGTATTTTGTTTTTTGTTTTGTTTTACTTATTATTAAAAATCACAGATTTACACAAAATTCTAGAAATGATTAAAATAATTAAGATATGGGGGTCTGGATGGGAGTCCTTCATTTATGTACTCATTATTCTGTATTTTTGATATTCAAGCACCCCATTATTCTCTATTCTTATATTTTTGCCTTATTTCTCTCTATTCTTTTCGGATTTTGGTCTATTCTGCAAACCCCGATCAGACCCTCAGATATGACACGGGACAACTACTGACGAGGATTTTATCTCTGTCTCTGTCGTACAGACGCATATATATACTAGGTATTAAATTCTGTGCATTTACCTACGAGATCAAACAATAATTTTCCAAATTAAAACTAAAATTCTAAAGCTATGTATTGCAATTCAGATACAAATTAATTGTCTTTGTTCCAAATACCCGGTAATGCAAAATTTCACAAAGGCGTGTTCAATGCAATATGGCAATATTTTATCAGAATTATATTTTCTCAATTTTAAATGACCGATAATGATGTTAATAACATTGTGTACCTACATGGCTTCACACTGCCGAAGTGCTAATCGAAAAATTGTTGACATTCTGGTGCTTCCTGTTAGAGAGTTATATTATATACCCCACGCCTTTAAACATACATTAGTTCATTACTTTATAAAAACAAGGAGATGTGGTATGATTGCCAACGACAACTATTCACCGGATTTCGAATGAAGTGGATGTAAGAAATTATAGGCAATCGTACGGTCTTCAACGATGAGAAAAACTACTCTGTTATTCATAATTTACAATATAGAGAGAAAATGTTTTGAAGAAGCACTTGTCAAAGTACACGAATTACTCCTATTTTTTTAATTAACCAATGAGAAAAAGATTTATTATTTGTGAAAAATACAACGTACAATTGATAACAATTTACCGATGAGCATTTGATTATCACACTGAGAGGGATAACTCTTGATTTTTTTTTACAGTATTGGTTTGTGATCTGGTTAAACTTATATACTGCATTTAAATCTAATATACTGAAAACTTGTTTAGAATATTTCATAAACAAATGATTGGTAAGAACAATGTGTTGTCATGTTAAAGTGAAAATAGGTATTGCTCTATTGACTTTTTAATTGTGAATATATATTTGTAAATCAAAAGTTAATCAAATGAAAAAAAAAAAGAAACACTAGTCAGCCGTATATCCTGATAAACAGTTTTCAAAGTGTGAATGCGCGTATAGAATATGATTAAAACATAAATGTACGCCATATGGTAAAGACAAAGTGGTTAAATATTAAACCTACACATTCAAAATCAGCAAGTGGTCTTTGGTGTTGATCACGGTAACTGCAGTAGGCTTCCCATTCTTTTTTATCGTCAGAGGTTGGACGAGGCGGAGGCGGGGGTGGTTTAAACTTTTCTATCCGTTTGGCATATCCTTTAATGGCAGGATCGTTTCCACAGTATGATAAAAACAGTAGTGATCCTAGATATATCACAGCTAGAAAAGCGATCCGCATTCTAGGAAATACAATGTTATATAAATTATTGAAAGTGATACCAGAACGTTCAGTAATGAATTATAAATTTAATTACATCCTGATCTTAAATCACACGAAAAATGTCATATACATTTCAGACATACTTTATCATGAATGGAAAACGTACGTTTCTTGATCTCTAAAAGAATTCAAAGAAATAAGTTAAAACGTGGAAAGGTGAAAGTGCTCGTTAATTTTTGAAGATAACATTATGGTGACAGATAAGATGCATTTTAATGCTATGTTACATAAACAGAATTTTATAGTATTCTATATTTTAAATTAAAAAGACATTTTATTAAACAATATAACGAAATGGATAAGAAAAGCAGAAAGCAACGAACCAAAATTTATTATTATAATTTTCGTAATCTTATTTTTTCGTTTTTTTTCCTAATAAAACAAGATTTTTTTTTCTTTTTAATGTTAAAAAAAATTAGATTGATCGTTATCAGAATTCATTCAATGTAAATTTCTATAAATGAAAGGAATCTAATATTTAATTTCATCTTGCAATATTATCATTATCATTTATATTTAATTTTGCATATACTTTAAATTCATCGTCATTAATAGATGTCACTTTATATACAATAATAAATTTTGATAAATAAACAAAAAAATATTAAAAAAAATAAATGAAGAAAAATAATTTTCAAAATTTATATTATTTGTCTGTTATAATTATTAACTTACCTTTTACTATTAACAAGGTGTGAACCACATGTCTACATTCTCCATTCTAAAGGAACCACCCGGAAGTCAACGTGTACTACCAACGGCAATATGTCAATTTATGTATTTACCAAATATTACATTCACGTGTTCAAAAAATACTATTTTTAGGTGTGCACTTATTAACTAAGCTCATACATGTACTATAATTGAGGATTCCAAACGTCTACCCGTGTAGGTAGTGTTTTTAAATTGCTATTTCTGAGGAATAGATACGATTTTCATAGTTTCAAAGTTCCGGTGAAGATCAGATAATTAAAACAAACCCATTTGTTGTGTTATTGTTTAGCTATTATAGTTTGCTTGTTTGTTTTTGGTTTTATCCAGTTTTTTGTTTTGTTTGGTACTTTAGTGCTTGTTTTTTTTTTAAATTGTTATTTTGTACCTTTTCTCTCTTTGTTTTAGTTTGGTAATTTCAGTTTTAATTGTTGTTTGAATAATTGGAAGTTTGGTAATCGATTTCTTATTTACAAATTCAACAATATCTTTTGAAAAAGCTTTCTTTAAGAATTTATCAGTCGTTGACTACGCGGAAAGAAAAATATAGATATTCTTATATTGTAGTGAACTATCATGTTTTAATTGTAGACGATATAATGTGTATGTTAAAAAGAATGTAAAGCAAAATGATTTTTTTAGTATTATGATCAAGCAATAATAATTTATAAATGCCTATTAGCTAATGAACAAAGGGTTTCTAGTGTTGGAGTTGAAGTCATCTCCTTATGCGATGAAAGTTTTACGGATTTGCTTGATTGTGCTGTTCTGTGTCACAGATGTTCATGAATAAGTTATTTTTGTCGTGGCCACAATCACGAACTCGTTTCTCGTATCCCACTATCAATGAATATGACTTAAGACGACTAGATTGTGAATGGATTTTAACAACATGATGGGTGTCGCTAGTGGAACAGAAACTTATTACGCGTATACACTACTTGAACATATCGGTGCCTTTCTGGAGCACTCGATTTTATATCGAATAAGAAAGAATTCGTCTTATTCAATATTTCGTTTTTGTGTACATATATGTATAGTATGATTTCGATTTTAAATCAGTTTTGTAATTGTAATTCAATTTTGTAAGTTAAACACGAATTGTTCTACCAGTTTTCTATTGCTACAGTATTCCTTCGAGTAAACAGAGTTTTCTACTGCTACAGTATTCCTTCGAGTAAACAGAGTTTTCTACTGCTACAGTATTCCTTCGAGTAAACAGAGTTTTCTACTGCTACAGTATTCCTTCGAGTAAACAGAGTTTTCTATTGCTACAGTATTCCTTCGAGTAAACAGAGTTTTCTATTGCTACAGTATTCCTTCGAGTAAACAGAGTATCGAATATATTGTATAAAATTTCCGCTATGAAAAAGGAACAAGAAAGATGTTAGAGAAATAGAATATATGCGAAAAACACCATGTATTGCATATACTAAAGGATATGATGTGTTTACGTCAATGAGACAGCATCCCAGCAACACAAATACTGATAAAAGTGTCAGATGAATATGAAGAGCCAAGAAAATGTAAACAAAATGAATGCAAACTCCAAAACTGAAAAGACATATTGCATTCATCCAAGTCCGTAGAGCTTTTCTACGCAAAGGCGGCTTTAGGTGGGGAATGTTGGAGAGGGGGCAGGCATATTGCAAATACATAGACCTTTTACAACTCCCCCTCCTAACGTTGTCTTGTTATCAAAACCCCTCCCCTTTCCCCCGCCCATTTTCTAAATTTTGGATCCACATCTATATCTTATCTACACAACAAAGGAAGCAAACTCCCTAATAAGTATATATTTTCAATTTCAAATGGGACTTGAATATAGTCGTAAACAGAAGTATTGCACTACATTTGTATTTCACCCATTTTTATTAAATAAGCAACACGATGTTTTCTTCCGTTTCATGTAAAATGGCTCGATGTCGGTTTAGTTGCATTTCTTTTTTTTTCATGTCTGTCATGTTTGTTTTGTGTAAATGGTTTTGTTATAGATTAGGCCATTAGTTTTCTCAATTGAATTGATTCATATTTGTCGTGGCCTTTTATAGCCGACTTTACGATATGGGTTTTTCTCATTGTTGAAGACCGTACGGTTGCCTACTATAATAATTGCTTTCATCCATTTCATTTGAACTTTGGTGGATAGAGGTCTCATTGGCAATTATATCACATCTCCTTATTTCTATATAAGTAGAATAACATCAAAGTTAATGAAAATGAAAAAGCTACACCTTCAAATATTCAAAAGAAAACACTGCGTCAGCATCATTGTCTTACAAACTGAGCCAAAATAGCGTATTAGGATGCCTACAATTTAGCCTCCCTTACAAAAAATCACCAAAACTGATGGCAGAGATTCGTTGAAAATATATTTTGATATACATGTATGTACAGGTAACATAAATATAATTGTATTATATATTTGTATTTTTTCATTTGTTAGTTCTTGTTTGTTGAAAGCCTAGTTGATCAGCACATACGGGCATGGAGTGCTTTTCATAAAGTAGTTATATTTCAGTCTGTTCGTAAAAGCTGTTTGATAGATGTCACATTGGCAATCATACCTCATCTCATGTTTTTACAAAGTCTCTTGGAATATTGTCGTTGTGCAATGTACAAACTGCATTACAAATGAAACTGGTACTTATATTTCTAATTATATCACAATGTCATAGCATATATAATGACTTCCTAAATCAAACAAAATGCTTTAAAAAAATTCGATTAATGCCGGCCTCCTACTTATTTATAAATTTTAAACTAAAATAAATATGTATGTTGTTTTGACTCGTGCTTTCACTGAACTGGTTTTATTGCGCATATTTTCTGTAACGTCTGTAAGTAGGCCTCTAATCAGCATAATTGTGGAAGGACTGTGCTTAGCTCGACCGGAACTATGCAATGATTGTACAGTGTAAGGTTGTTTTGGTTTTTTTTTGGGGGGGGGGAGGGGGGGTGAAGGGAGGGGGTTAATTTGTTTTTTTCTTTTGTTTTGTTTTTGTACAGGTTTTGTTTTCATAAATATTAGATTAGCTAGGTATAAAATATAAGAATCTAGAATTCAGTGTACACGTACCACGATACGAAAGCGCAATTGAAATTTTATCTATAACTCTGCTAGTAGCATATTCAGTGTGGAGCTTGTAGAGAGTGTATGCCTCCCCTTTTGATAAAGAAAATACAATGTTTGGCAGAAAATCTTTTTAAAAAATCGCCTCGTTACATTCGGTACTATTCTACCATTACTGACTATGATGCCCGACACATTTTACATTGAAACCCTGAATCCGCCCATGATCTGAGTGCTGAAGATGAAATCATAGAAATCACAACGTAAAATCTTCCGTATACATACTAGTAGTGTACTTTAAACTTTTTAACAAAATACTTTCAGTGCAATTAATGAAAAGAACACATCTTATTATTTAGCTTTGTTTCTGAATAGCTTTGATAAAATTATTTAATAAAGAAAGCCACTACACCTGTAATATATTTAAGTCTGAGTTGTCTCTCCTACGCTATGACATCTAACTTTAAATTATATTGTGTCAAATTGACGTTAACAGAGCTAGCCAAGTTGCTTAACGTCCAGTGTTAAATATGTCATGCATGTTCTGGACGAGAACAAATTAACATTTTAATCAATTCTTTATATACACTCAGACACAAAATTGTGTTGGATGAGGACATATTATAAATCAAACACAATAAATGACAGAATAGAATATAACAAAACAATCCGACATGGATTTATATGCTGATGATTCAACATTGCATTTTCATAATAAAAACATTGAAAAAATAAACAGCATATTGCAAAATGATTTAAATGCTATACAATCTTGGTGTAACAATAACAGTATGAAAATTAATGCACAGAAAACAAAGTTTATGAAATTGGGTTCAAAACAAAAACTTACACAACTATCAGAATTATGTATTACCGTCAATGAAACATGTATTGAAAATGTCCATTCTTTCAAATTACTTGGAATTGACATTGATGAAAATTTAAGCTGGGAGGATCATGTTGATCGTATATGCAAGATTATCTCATCTAAAATATCACTTTTGTTTAAAATTAAAGTATATTTGCCTATACACACAAGACAACTATTTTATAACGCATATATTCTACCATATATAGACTATTGTAGTTCAGTTTGGGGAAATTTATTACAAAAAGATTCAGATAGAATCATAAAACTTCAAAAAAGAGTAGCAAGAATTATACTTGAATGCGATATTTCTGTTCCATCTAATTTTATGTTTTCATCTTTAAAATGGCTATCTTTTACAAAAAGAATAAAATACCAACAATCAATTCTAATGTATAAAATTGTAAATGGACTAACACCAGATTACTTAACAATGCTAAATATTAATGATGTGCAACACCACAACTTACGATCTGTCTCTAATAATGATCTATTTGTTCCAAGACCAAATACAAATTTTTATAAAAAATCTTTTCATTATTCTGCAACAAAGGTATGGAATAATTTACCACTCAAAATAAAAAATTGTCGAAATGTGGAATTACTAGTATTTAAGAAACATTGTTATAATCATTTTCGTGAAAATTCTATGCAAGTCGAATAATTTGTTTTCTTTCTTTTATTTACATGTAAGAATAAGAAAATTTAATCAAAACTTTACCAGTTATTGCCATTTATTGCCATTTGTATGTTTGAATGATTGAATTGTGTATGTACTAGTAATATATATTGTATTTTAATGTATGAATGTTAACTGTATACATGTATTTTGTTTGAGGGCCTCAATGAAAATTAGACTACTTCTAATTGAGTTACCCTCTTTAAACAAAGAATTTATTATTATTATTATTATTATTATTATTATTATTATTATTATTATTATTATTATTATTATTATAAAGATTACAAAACTAATAAGACACATGTATTCAAGATGAGTGTAGATAATTTCTTGATACACAATATATACAATCGGTAGGTCCTGTAATAGGGGTCGATCATGGTAAAAGGCGGGAAATTTGACCTGCCACTGGAAAAGGAGGGTAAATTGGATAGGAACAGAAATTTAACTAAGCAACAGGCCATCTCCACAGTTGCTGCAAGGGTTCTTAACGACACTCTCTCTCTGCACGAGGCATCGGATTTGACGTATCAATTCTGACCGGAAGTTTTAATGAGTAAAGTTTTAATATGTAGACATTAAATGTATAGTATATATAGTAAATGTTTATAGTACATGTATGCGTACGAAATATGTTTATTGTCGTTTAAGACTGTCAGCATCTGTGGACAATTCTCCTTTAATTTTCTAATTATTATACAATGGAAGTATAATCAAATAAACAAACAAAATGCACATTTTTATTTGTTTTCAAAGTCCAAATTACCAAAGGGAATAATATACATAGCATGAATCTGTATGGAAATTATTCATTAAATTGAATAGATCTTTATCAAATAAATTATATTTGTACTTGACACGCAAATATTTTTGTTTCTCTTTTCAACATTTTGAATGTTTTCAGGGTCCTTTCTTAGGAAAACTAGGACTTATAGTGAATGGAGATGTTGGCGGTCATATAGTTGGGGACGTCAGTTTTATGAAATTGAATTGTAGCCCAGAAATTATTTAGATCCCACATATGAATTCACCGAATGTTTTACCCACTCCTTTTATCGTGACCACAAAAAACAAAGACACCACCTCGCGGTTACCATGACCAAGGATTTGTATAAGTACATATATACAAATCCTTGCCATGACATAATCATTTTTCGATTGATATTTTAAAGAATTCAAAAGAATATTGTCCACTATGCAAAGAAGCAATTTGTCATGATCACCACAACTAATCAAAAGCACCAAAATTCTATCAGACTGTTGAGATTGGCGAGTATAATAAGCTGCATCCCTTCTACAAAGAAACAACTCAGTATTTCCTAAAAGAAAATGTCATGTTTAAGTTGAGTATTTCGATCCCATGTTATAAGCAATATAGTACTGTAACATCTTAACTCAACGAACTTAAAGCCTAGGATTTGTAGTGAGTAAAAATAGTGTTCAGTTTTCAAAATCTTACGCGACCTCAACTAATATAAAAAACTCGAAAAACAAATGAAGAAAACTGGTGGCAATTCTGAATATATAACTGTATAATTTATAGATTAGCAAATCTGATAGACTTTAAAAAAAGGGAAGCAACGAACAATTATTTTAGTATGAATTCGATTAAAGAATACACATATGCAACTATTCCAGTCATAGTTACGTTCGATAACTCTGCATGTTACTGGTTCAATAAGAACAAGAGTGCACACACTGAAATGTCTCGCCTTCTTTACTAATCATTGATATTATGTTGATAGTTCTAAATATAAAGCTTTACTACAACTATCACATACACTTAACATGATCCAACAAAATGAGGTCAAGGTGATATAAACCAAACAAGAAATACATGTACACCTTACAATCATTCAATACACTAAATATAGTTGACCTATTGCTTATTGTTTCTAAGATACAGACTTAACCAAGAAAACTAAACATTGACTAATGAACCATGAAAATGAGATCAAGGTCAGATAAACCATGCCAGGCAGACATGTACAGCTTGCAAACCTTCCATACAACAAATATAGTTGACCTATTGCTTATAGTAATAGAAAAACAGACCAAAACACAAAAACTTAACACTGAGCTATGAACCGTGAAAATGAGGTCAAGGTCAAATTAAACCGGCAAGACTGACATGTACATCATAAAATACACCAAATATAGTTATATTGCATATAGTATAAGAAAAAAAGACCAAAACTCAAAAATTTAACTTTGACCACAGTACCATGAAAATGAGGTCAAGGTTAGAAGACACCTGCCAGCTAGACATGTACACCTTACAATCATTCCATACACCAAATATAGTAGACCTATTGCATATAGTATAAGAAAGACAGACCAAAACACAAAAACTTAACTATAACCACTGAACCATGAAAATGAGGTCAAGGTCAGATGACACCTTCCAGTTTGACATGTACACCTTACAATCCTTCCATACACCGAATATGCTAGACCTATTGCTTCTAGTATCTGAGATATGGACTTGACCACCAAAACTTAACCTTGTTCACTGATCCATGAAATGAGGTCGAGGTCAAGTGAAAACTGTCTGACGGGCATGATGACCTTGCAAGTTACGCACATACCAAATATAGTTATCCTATTACTCATTATAAGAGAGAAATTAACATTATAAAAAATCTTAACTTTTTTTTAAGTAGTCGTAGTCATATGACAGTCGGAAACTTCGTAACATATGGCATCTATATACAAAGTATGAAGCATCCAGGTCTTCCACCTTCTAAAATACAAAGCTTTTAAGAAGTTAGCTAACGCCGCCGCCGCCGCCGCCGCCGGATCACTATCTCTATGTCGAGCTTTCTGCGACAAAAGTCGCAGGCTCGACAATTATGTCAAATTTACTGGTTACCCGTGTGATGATTAGAAAATTGAAAATATATAGATATTTCACCTCGGTTACCATCCATTTGAGGTTTTCTTTTATTGATATGAAATAATAGCATAAAATGATTTCGTTAAGAATCGAACAATATTAATCTACATGTGCACAGGTCTTGTTAAAACTTACATCATGATTAGGTGCCATGTTTGTTTACTTTGATCACGTTGGTGACTTAATATCTCCTTAATCTAGCTATGTCCTTGGGTATTATTAAAGTGACAATAACGATGACCTTCATAGAACTTAGAAAAAACAATGCATTCGACATTGCATAGATTATCGCAGTATCTAGCACCGCGCGACCACTAGGACGACATTGGTTGTAAACCCGTAGGTATGGGACATATTACAAACGACAAAAATATATGAAAAAGTAACATTGGCGTCCAAACGTTTCAATTGCATAATTACTTATCTATTATACAAGTAATATTTTGCTTTGAAATATATACGACTGCACAGGGAAATTTGTATTGGTGTCTCCCATACAACTGGTATATGCTAAATTAAAATCCAATGAAAGAATTAGAATTAAAACAATTAACATACATGTACCAAAACGAAAAGTGCCTTATCAAATGGTAAAATCAAAGCCCAAACACATCAAACGAATGGAAAACAACTGTCATACCAAATAGATACTGTAAATAGGAAGTGCAGTATATATTTTCATTTATATTAAAGGAAAAAGGGGGAGGGTAATAATTATGCACACCGGTGATCAAAACAAAGTCTTATCGTTCAAAACACTTCTGAATGGGATGTAACATGTATCATGTATTTTTGTATCTGTTTCGAAAAGATTGATTCTGTTACTGATGAACAGAAGTTTATGGATTTTGAAATAAAAAATAATTTAAGTAAATATTTACATTTTAATATATATTTACCATGTTTACCAATATTTCAGATTGATATATATACGATTACTTTTCCAAATATTTGTGATTATCTAATAATTGGATTGCTAGATACGTCCCTCACTTTATATATCATTCTTTGGAAATCAATTATCTATTTAAGTTTCATAAATGGGTCATATGATATCATGCGCATGTGTCGCTAACCTTGAAGGTTTGCCATTTTACTAATTACAGCAATCAAGTAGTAACTATGGGTAGGTAACAATTCTCTGCATGTAAGGAATGTGTTTACAGTACAAATATTATGAATATCATGATATTATTATAATACTATTAATTTTACGTTTGATCAATGCGGAAGTAAAAACATTTCATAGCAAACAATAAAATGTATACCTTTTTCGAATATGTTCTTGACCTTTTATATAATTACTGTTTCGTATGTAAATACATTTTATAAACATCTAGTATGCAGAAACCCTGGAATCAATTCTAGAGTACAAGTCGGGGTCGACAGAAACACTTTAGACAAAAGAAAAGGACAAATTAAAAGCAGACAGAAAAACACTACACAGAAAATTAAAACATTAAAATAAATGAAATTTACAATATTTGCAGATGTTAATGGAAGGGCAAACAGTTTTGATTTTCTAAAGACGCCATCGTGTAGCTAATGCCATACTCTAGTTTCATTCATAAATGGTTCATTAACCCCTACTATTTATTTATTTTCTTAAAATTAATTGTATTATTTTCCATTCTTCAATGAATTATGAATCTTATTTTCCCGTCATCAATAGATATATGCCAGTTTCAGCATTTCTGTGATTTTGTTTACATAGTCATGATAGTTACGGTCGCATTTTTGTCTCTTCATTTGTGTATTTAATTTTACACCCCAAATGAGATTCATTTAAAATCAACAATGACACTTTAATATTTTAATATATTTTTATGAATGACATTATAAATATAATGCACTTTTAATATTTATCTATATTAATTTAATATTTATCTATATTAATTTAATATTTATCTATATTAATTTAATATTTGTTAATATCTAATGGTCAGAAAAAAGTAAACAGAAAATACTAGAATATTTACACAGATCGTTTGGAGTAGCGGTGGCAGGAATAGGATCAGGGTCAAATCTGTAGGACCTCTTCCTCAAACAAAATGTTTGCTGCAGACATAAGTTCTTATGGAATAAATACAAACATATGTGTGTGTGTGGTATCATAAAATTTTAATGTACTTTTGTGTCCCTATGGATGGACATTGTTTTACTACTGTCAACTTTTCATGTCTTTTTTACTCAAATTTACAAGAGACGCATGCAAAATTATCAAATAGGCTTAGTGATAAAGATGCTCCTTTTCCCACTAAACTTTATTAAATTCTAAATTACCGTTCAAAAGAATATGCCAATTGCATTCTACTATGCTCTTCTTTGGGGTAAAATGGTCTCGGTAGCCGATTTGTCTAAGTAGATCAGCTATATGATAACTAGCCTGTAAAACTCTGCAATTAGGAGTTCGAACCCCACTCCTGGCAGTTGGGTTCGACTGCGATATAAATTACATAGGATTGCCTGTTTTGCCACTCAAGGTCGGGGACTCTCTAGGAAGTATTCTTCCTCCACACAAAAATAATAAAATAAAAAATGGCCGCCATGATATAGCCAAAAGTGGCGTTAAATAACAACAATAATTATTTGGTGAAGTTTGCATGCGAAGTCCACGAGTTAAACACTATATAAGTTACTATTAAGCAAATGAAATAAATAATCTTTGAATGCAATAAGTTTGCATATTAAATAACTGCTAAATTTTTGAATGAATATACCCCGAGAACAAAGTTTGAAATGTATATATATATAATTCCCTCTTGTCAGTCCGTCTGTGCCACTCGTACATGTCTCAGAACATTTTGATGCTTTGGAAAATATTAATGGTGTTTCGTATTAGGGTTAGCCAATATTAGGTGGTGTGTTTCGAATAAGGTTGGCCGAATATCTGTCTGGAAGGTCGAATTATTAAACTGCGTTCCACAAAATTTCTCTACATTTCAACGGATACCAAAAAAACTTATGTTGTTGCCCATCACTATAGAGTGTGTGTTGCGTTTAAATTTGGAATGTTTGTATGCAGGGTCATGGTCATAAATATAGTTTCAAGTATACATAGTCAGCCTAAGAACTAATGAATGCCTTGATGGATACTGTAAACCAACTTATTTTTCGCGGATACTTTATTTCGCGTTTAGCCCTTTTTAGTCCATTTCGCTACGATTCAATTTCGCGATTTTCAAATTTACTTGATTTAGTCGAATAAGGAAAGATCCAAGTTTTACATATTCGCGACGATTTATATTCGCGTTATTTTTCAACTCGCGAAAGTCGCGAAAATTAGTTGGTTTACAGTATCATTGATGCCTGATATTATTTATAGTACCAACCGACGGTGTGTTGCAAATTAGATGTGCAATATCTGTCTGCAAGTTCAATATAATGAATATAATGATCATATAATGGGAGCTTGATTTTGTGAGCTTTGATCGCAGTTACCCATCAATTATTCTGTACTTTCTCTATAGTCCGTCTTAAAGTTTTGCATCTTTCAATTTTCATTTCAGAGAATTAAGTATCCATATTGACTGAACACATAGGCTATCACTAAGGACCCATTCCGTATGGCTTCTAGTACAGGCACATTTTGTGACATTTGTCAAAGTAGACATATATCTAAGGCGGCGGAAGGATACTGTCCTCTGTGTGAAGAAGCCTTATGTTCCGATTGTAAAGATCATCACAAACTGTCTAAGGCAACAAAAAAGCACCAAGCTATTTCAATTGACGAGTATAATAAGTTACCACTCTTTATTCGAGAGATCAAACAATATTGTGATGAACATGGGGATAGGTTTGAATTTTTCTGTCCAACGCATAACGAGTTGTGCTGCAAACGATGCATTACTACAACTCATAGCGAATGTAAGGAATCCAAAGTTATAGAAGATTTTGTTGAATTTTCGAAATCTTCCGCGGCCATTAATAAATACGAACAAACTTTGAAAGATGTTGACGGAAATATTCAAACTGCGATCGATGATCGAAAATATAACCTTGAGCAATTCGAAAAACAGAAACAGGCTATCATAAAACAAGTTAAGGATAAAAGGATTGAAATCAACAAGCATTTCGACAACCTTGAAGCGACATTAATGAATGAACTTTCAGCTATTGAAAGTGAAAAGAAACAAAACGTTCATTCAGTTATTGAAAAATTAGAAGAAAGCCAGAAAAAAAATTTACAACTCAGAAACGATATAGACGCAATGAAAGAGTACGGATCAAATATACAAGTGTTCATGGGAACAACAAAACTTCTACAACCCGTATCAAGTCAAGAGATATTCGTTCGATCATTGCAAGACGACGGGAGTTTACGTTTCATCAACCTTGGATGCTCCATTAGTGAAGAGTTGAATGGCATCTTGACAGGAATTCGTTCATTCGGTGAGGTTACGCCAATAACTTCTGAATCACGTGTCCTATTCAGATGGGAAAGTGAAAAATCAGCTCAGATATTAACTTCACCGACACATATGCATAGTATTGACAATATTAACACTAAACTGATATGTAAGATAGATGTCAGTTCCCCTGCAACGATAACATCGTGCCTTGTTGGCAAATATGTTATGTTCTCAAGTGTAAAATCCAGGTTGTCCTCAGGATGTTTATTGCAATATGATAGTAAAGGGAAATATTTGAAAGAAACAGAGTTGAAAAATTCACATGCCTTCAATATCATATTCATTGATTCAGAAACCATTGCTGCTACTAGTGGTGGTTATGATTTTAAAGTTCACATAGTTGATGCAGCTACATTGCATGTGAGAAGAGTAATTGATCTAGGAAAAAACACCTGGTTGTATGGAGCAATCTATGAAAATGAATGCATTATCGGTTGCATGCATGACAACTCAATAAAAAGTTACAACGTTGCTAAGAACAAAGTCTTAACAGCAGAAACTCTTCCATTCAAAACTAAAAATACGCATAGCACTTATCTTGCATCCGATAACAATTATTTTTATCATTCTGATTACGAAAACGATTCTGTTACGTCTTATGAGCTCAAAGGAAGAAAAATATGGTCATTCAAAGATGACATCCTACGGCAACCCCGTAGTAATTATCTAGATTCAAATACAAACGTGTATGTAGCAGGAAGTGGTTCAAACAATGTGGTAGTCATTTCATCAGACGGATTGCATTCAAAACAACTACTTGGACCAGACGATGGAATTCAAAGTCCGCATGCCATTCATTACGATAAATCTAGTAATAGATTGTTGGTTGTAAATATAAACGGGCCAGCATTTTTATACCAAGTGTCCAAATAAAACAGAACTACAAGATATTTTCAAAATAAATAAAGTGCATTAAATAAAGATAAAAGGTTTTGTTCCAATGGCCAACATGCAAGACGACAGGGTTTATAGCTTCAACGGCTGACATAAAGGTATCAAAAGTCATTTTATTATCCCTGCGGGGGACATAGAACTACTGGGCGTCCGTCCGTCCTTCCGGTCTTGTTAGCGCCCTCACTTGTACAGTTCTTGCCAGATTTTTATGAAACTTATATCATAGGTTTATATTAGCAATGTCTTGGATAAGTTCGAAAATCATTGCCGATCAATTATTTTTGGTATCCGGTCGTTTTGTCCCCAAACCGATCCGGCCCCAAGTCGATCCGGCCCAAAGTCGATCCGTCCCAAGTCGATCCGGCCCACGTCGATCCGTCCCTACGTCGATCCGGCCCCATAATAAAATATGAATAAACTAAACTGACTTTGGAGGATTTTATGACAAATTTTAACAGTATAAATGGAATTTGTAAAAAGTATCGATGATGGATGACAACAGGCAAGTGAAGTATTGGAGTACCAGTCAAAGAATTATTTTAAATCGATACGAAAATGAGTGTGATTGTGTCTGTTTGTATAGCAGCTTCAACATATTAATATGAAGTTATTTTCCATGATAACTTTGAATGTCATGGCGATTTTTATTTTATTTAATTCACACACACAATAGCTAAATAAATATTTACAGTCCAATGGAACCTATAAAATTTAACTCATCACAATGACTTGTTTAATCAAATCATTAGTCTATAATTGGTTTGTTTATTCAACAATTGTCTGATGATTGTGAACTAAGGTAATGCCACTCGTAATCACTTAATTCAATCAAATCCTGATTGATTAAAGTTATGTATAAATCAACAAGGTCTTTATAGTTTGATCTTTTGTTTGGTGTTATGTGTTATAATAATTAATTGTATTTTTTTTTCAGGCAACATCAGTCAGAGGCTTCTATAACACATGTTTTTTTTTTTTATAATATCGAATATAGCCAATATATTTTTTTAAAATTGCCACTTTGAACATTGCTCACACTGAAGTGCATGCTGCCGGGGTCTAACATGTTGGTCACATACCACGCAAGGAAAAGCCATTGTGATATTAGAAGCAAAAGCATTCTGTCTCCTCTTTTATAGAAAGGATTCGGCAAATCAAACAACATTTCTCAATTTGAGAAGATTTAAGAACTTAAAACAAAAACAAAGTTTGTATGAATCAGCTTGGGGATCGGCTTGTACCGTTGTGTATGTAACTATTTGTTATTACACAGGATGAAAGACTTGTTAAGATTACAGTCAATTGAAAGAAAATGCTAATTACTACTGATTAATGTTGAGGTCTGTTGATTGTACTAAATTCTGTTATATACGTTTTTATTATAATTATACCCAATAATCTTGAAAACTTGTAATGAAAACATAATCAACATAGTTGTTTTATACTCATCTAAAGAAAATATTTGTCAAAGGCCATTTTTTTTTACCATACAACTTTTACATTATAATAAAATTCATAAACATTTATGAATTACAATTAATATATATCTTTAATTTTATTCCTTATAAATATATTTTTTTATTGGGCCGGATCGACTTTAATTATGGGCCGGATCGACGTTGGGCCGGATCGACGTGGGACGGATCGACTTGGGCCGGATCGACGTGGGGCCGGATCGACATGAAAGCTTATTTTTAAGAGTTATGCCCCTTGGAAATGTCAAGTATGATGGAAAATTGCCACATGAGCGCTATAATATGTACAATTCTTGGCAGATTTTTATGAAATTTATATTATAGGTTTATATCATCAATGTCTTTGCCGAGTTAAAAACTCAGTGCCCTTGGAAATATTGCTTATATTGAAAATTGCATTGTTAGGGCTCTCGTGTGTACAATTCTTGCTAGAATTTTATGAACTTATATCATAGATATAAAAAGATGTGGTATGAGTGCCAATGAGACAACTCTCCATCCTAGTCACAATTTGTAAAAGTAAACCATTATAGGCCAAAGTACACCGTAACGGCCTTCAACACGGAGCCTTGGTTCACAACGAACAGCAAGCTATAAAGGGCCCCAAAAATGACTAGTGTAAAATCATTCAAATAGGAAAACCAACGGTCTAATCAATAGGTTTATATCAGCAATGTCTGACATTTCGAAAATAAGTTCTGATCAAATATTTTTCACGAGTTATGTCCCATGGAAATATTAATTATATCGGAAATCACATTGCATTTGCTCTGAAGCCTTCATTTCTCTAAGATATTAATAAAAAGTTTTAAAGAAAAAAAAAGTTTTTTTTTTATTTATTTTTTGCCCTTGTACCTTGGATAGATAAAATATGTGCAATGTGGGGAACATTGGAACTCTGTTCTTTTATTTATTCTATATACTATAGCATTGTGGCGTATATACAAACGATACTACAGCAATGACTGTGTAAATTTCAAAATCTTGACTTTTCAGGTTAAGACAATCAAACTATAAAATATAAAAGCTAATTTAAGAATGTACCAAAATATCGAATATTCATGTTTAATGGGAAAGGAGGAATATGAAATATTAATTCATGACCGAAAATCCTTACACGCATTGGAAAAACCAAATGTAGTTTATTTACTATCCATTTGCTTCCAATACTAATTTCAGACAATATCTCCTAAGTTTTATACCTGGTATTGAAGAGAATGTGCAATTTTATATTACGTATGGTAAACCTGGGACATAATATATTGGCGTCAGTAGTATAATAATCCTAGGGTATACATATATAAGAGCCAAAACAAGAATTAAACTCCTCTGAGACTGTCTGTTAAAATGCTCTCATACTTGCATGGTTGTGACTGTATAACACTGTAGAGGAGATCCAATGTGTGTCTTGCCATGGCCTAGCAATCTTTTTTTCAAATTGAAATATAATGAGTATTAAACACGCACATCACCTAGGATTTCTTTTGCAACATTGCTTTCATAAGATATATTCTCGGACACTTTTTATCTGATTATTTAGATGAAGAACACAAGACATACATTACAAATTTCAACAGATTGTCGGAAAAACAATTCATCTGGCTTTTTCTTCTTTTGTGATTTATATTTACATACCATGATACAAACTATTATTTCTATGCTCAGATTTACGAATGAATGTTTCGGGCTTATGAAAATAGTGTTGAAATACCCGAAGCATATAGGCCCAAATATTAGGATGAAAAAAAAAGGAATTTTAAAGATTACAGGCATTTGTTCAAGAGACAGCAAGGCAACGATCAAAATAAGAACAACATACATAAAATGTACATCGATTTATATTTTCAAAATCGGGAAGCACCTGTTCTTTTTAATAATCTCGTAGCTTGAAAAGGAAATCTCAAAATCTTGAAAAAAGCCATTTCTATTCAATGTTAAATATATTTATAAACATGCACTGTACACGTTAGAGTAAAATAACATAAATACCGGACTCGAAGGAAAATTCAAAACGGAAATTCCCTGAAACATGGCTGAAAAATCAAAAGCTCAAACAATTCAAACGAATGGAAAACAATTGTCATATTTCTGACTTGGTACAGGCATTTCCTTATGTAGAAAATGGTGGATTAAATTTGTTTTTATAACTAACTAAACCTCTCACTTGTATGGCAGTCGCATAAAATGTGCATGTATTAGTGCTACACACACCATAAAAACACCTAGTCATCGAAACTACTGTAGCCATGCCTTAATTCCTCTCTGACATTGTTTCAAAAATCTATTAGAACAGATTATTTTATAGCATATTTCAGTTTCTTTATACTAGAAGTTGTAATCTCATTTTGTTTTCGACTTTACAAAGTTCAATTTCCTCTGTTTTAGACATAGGGGTTATAGAAACTTTTAACAGACTAGAATAATCTTTGCCGATCTTGATAAAATCAGCTAAGATTTTCTGCATATTAAAGTTCAACATCGCTGTGAAATTTGAAATTGTTTGGGAAAATTATTGCGTCTCCTCTAATCCAAATACATCCCTTTGCCTGACTGGATATAAGTATATACATTTTTGAAGTTCAGCCAGAAACAGATTCCTTTCAGATTTAAATTGTAGCATTTGTCTCAGTTGCCTGATATTTTATATCTCCTATATTAAATTTGCCAAGCAGGATATATATGCCCTATTCTCTTTGTTTTATGAAAGAAAATTGGTTTTGGAAAGACATTTATTATAATGCATGGTAGAAAAATTCCTAGAGTACACCATTCCTCTAAAATGTTTTAACTAGTTCTAAAGACCTCAAAGGGTTTTATACAGGACAGTGGTCACTTAATTTCTTATTTCTCTTGAATAAAACGTACAAATATTATGGACAGGCAAAATATTAAAAGGTCCAGACAACTGTTTGATCTAGGAGGAAACAATGATGACAATTTTTCTGAGAGTATTGAATGGCAATACATAGTCCCCTACCGTTTAAAAATTCATTGTATTGGAACAAAATGATAACTTGACCTATATCTTGTCATGGTATAAACTATATAACAAATATCAAGTTAATATCTTCAAGCATGACGAAAAAAGTGTTGAAAACTGATTTTTTTAAGTGAATTTTCTAAGTCAAAGGACCATAACTCTGCACAAAATCATCAGACCGTAACAAAATTCGAACTTGATCTGTAACTTGTCATGATGAAATTATATACCAAATATCAAATCAATATCTTCAAGCACGAAGAGAAAAGTGTGGAAAACTGATTTGCCGGACAGACAGACAGACAGACAGACGGACAGACGGAGTGCAAACCTAGTCCCCTTCCACCTAAAAAGACAGACTGGCAGCCATTTAATACACTTTATACCCAGACTAGAAAAATGAAAATTAAAAACTTGGGATACATGTATAACATTTATCAATTATTTTCTTTAACAACAAAGCCACTTTTTTTTCTATTCTAGGCCTTATTATATGGTCTTTTGAGTTATATTCAGGATCTTCTTAGTGTGTCAATCATTTGTCTGTTCAAAAAGAAGGTAAAGTTGTTCATTTCAATTTATGCTGCATTATATGTTATGGTTCTTGTGTGACGTCTTTATATCCGAACACTCCCTTCATCATCCTACATTGTGACAAGTGTTGAGATTCTGTCGGCATCAGGTAAGCTCCTTGGTCTCCTAGATATATATGTCTTACAGAAGTTAAGAAATGCAAATTGAGATTGTATACAAGTTTTATATCTGTAATGTATGTAGTTCTTGCTAGATTTATGTCCAGTAGCAAATATTTCAAGTATATTAAGAACAAGTGACATGTTTTAGAGATATCAATTTTTCTTTTTTGATGACATTTTTTGAAAGGATCATATTTAAATGAGTGTGGAGTAATAAGACCAATTTAAGGCCAAATCTTACTGCAATGTAACATTTACCACAAATGTTCTTAAAGTGGTCTTAACTATACGAAAGGTACAAGGTCTGAAGAATATAAAAAAACTAATTAAACAAGTTACCATGGCAACAAACCATGACGAAACTTGTATATTTTGTAAAATTTATTGTTTTTCTTGTATTACATCATCTTTATTGTATATTTTGGATTGGCAGTTATGTGTTTATTCAAGCAACACCTTCATATTTGGAGATAATATGTAGATAGCTTACAAAAGCTGCTCTAAAATTATTTTATTGTTTCTTTACTGTACACAATGTTTGCACAAAGCATATGAATGGAAAACTGCATTAACTGCCCAGTTTTCTTGGTTTTCATGAAAAAAACAATGATGTAATTGTGAAGTCATACCATAATCAATCTTGTGTACTTCATTTTTATTTCATAATCATATGCATTTACAAACATTATGTGCAAATTAGAAATAGTTCTCAATAATCTTATTTTCTTGAGCCAAAAACTGGCTTTAATATTGCTTAAAATGTACTATGTTTTGTAACAATCACTGTGCAAGGATTCTTCAATTTTGAAAATTTCTTCTATGGGGTAATCATGACTATATATATAACTTACTAAATATAGAACATTTCCATACTTTTCGAAAAATATTAAAAAGTATATTCCCTTTTTTGTTTTTTTAAAATTGAAGGTTGTGTGGAAGTCTTCAAACTTTTTTATAATACACAACAAAACTGGTAAAGCCATAATAACAGGGTCAGTTATTTTCCATGTTTAAATAAATAAATTGCTTCGCCGAGCGCAGCTGGATACGACCGCAGAGGTCAAAACCTGACAGTTGGGGCAAAAATGGACACAATATTCGCGCTTGATACAGGTCTGAATTTGGATTGTAATTAAATATTTGACACATAATAGGTTTCTGACACAGAATAACTGTAGTCAAAGAACTTAGAATTGGTTATATGATTTGAATTTATATTCAATTTTTTGCTTTTGTGCATTTGTGCAATACACTATGCTGTTGCAAATTGATCCCCCCCCCTTAAAAAAAAAAAAAAATACCCCCCCCCCCCCTTTTTTATCCAAAAAAAAAAAATATGATTAATTTCAGAAAAAGTTTTTTAATTTCTGAAATCTGAAATGAGAAAAAAATCCCTCACAATTTCTTTTTTACCCCCCCCCCCCCCCAACCAATTTTTATTCACCTCCCCCCTTTTTCCCCCCCAAAAAAGGTTCTTTCCCTCAAAATATGGTCATAATCTCAATTAAAATTTCCAATGGAGTTTGCAACCATAATTACCCATTTAAATACATCATAAAAGTCTTAAAATAGAAAATGACATACATAATCATGGCTAAAATTAATATTCCTTAATCAGCATTTTTAAATAGTAACTTCTAAAAATAAATTGACAGCTAATCACCTCAAGACAAATTTTTAATTGTACATTAACCAGGAACTCTTTTTTTTCCCCCTAATTCCTAAACAGTTTGAGCCATAACCCTCCAAATCCAATCCTAACCATCCCTTTGAGGTATGGAAACTTGTGGTATAATTTCAGAGAGATCCATACACCGTTCCACAATTTATTGTCTGGAAACTAGAAAAATGCTTATTTGGGCCCCTTTTTGGCCCCTAATTCCTAAACTGTTAGGACTATAACCCCCAAAATCAATCCCAATCTTCCTTTTGTGGTTATAAACCTTGTGTTTAAATTTGATAGATTTCTATTTACATTTACTAAAGTTATTGTCCGGAAACCAAATGTCTTCGGGTGACGCTGATGACGATGACGACGAAGAGGATGACGTGATACCAATTTACGACCGCAAAATATTTTGCGGTCGTATAAAAATATCTTTTAACTTTTTCTTCTGAATTAAAAAAAAAACTGTATTAATTTCAGGAATTTTTTGTGCGTGTCTAATTTTTGCTATTTTCTCAGTAGACATTTTACCACAAAATACTCTTCATGAACAATATACTATTCATTTAGATGCATTGTATCAGGCTATGAACACTAATTATGATTATCATCCTTTATCAACTTTTTTAATCTATATGTTTATAAATAAATTACTTCTGTTTCTTTTGATTTAAACTGTAGATCTCCAACACCCTAGGTAAGCATACAAATCCTTGTCATTTTGGTTATGTATATAAATTGCTAGCAATGTTTTAAAAGGATACGGTAATCTAATAACCCACAATGCACTAGCACTTAATTCTACAACATCAGTTGTGCCAAGGTTAAACAGTGGACATGGCGATGGTGCAGGTTGTATAATAGGGTTAACTGTTATCCTAACTGGTCCCTCTGGTGTTACTACATACAGTCTCATTAACTGGCCAAGGAATCCTTTAGATGCTCTACAAAGTAATAATAACATTTAAGGTAGATCATAAGTATATATTTTTTGAGACAGAATTTTCTTATACTTTGCCAAAATGAAGACTTTACTATGCTTTTTTCAAAAATATAATAAAAAGTATGGGTCACCGTGCTATGTTCCAAGCTATGAGTCGTTGAAAATTGCCTAAATTTGGTTAGATTGTTCATGAAAAAACACATTTGTGTGCATAAAAAGAAATCTATGAGATAGAATTTTGAAATAAATTGTGAGAAGATAGGTTTTATCAAATGTTTTAAGAAAATAAAAAGAAAATATGGTGTCACCGAACTTGTTTTCTTGCTACAAGTAAAAATTCAAAATTTCCGTATCAGTCGAGTATATATTTTTTACTAAAAGAGTTATCTCCCCTTAAATGGCTAATTTGAAAAAATTGATTCTAAAAACACAAAATTTGATATTTGTTTAAATATTTTGTATAGTACAATAAATCACCTAGTTTTCTTTATATTAATAAACAGTCTAACCAATAAATTGCAAATCTGTCTCCAAATTTGTAGAATTGAGCAAATAACTAGACCAATTTTTTTCTGCGATTGTACAATCCAAGATGGCGTTATACCATGAATCAACCTTAATTGATTGATTGATTGTTAGTGTTTAATGCCACTTTCAGCACTTTCGGCTATACAATGATTCATGGTGGCCAGTTTTTATTGGTGGAAGAAGCTGGAATGCCCAGAGATCTAGAGAACTACTGACCTTTGACAGAAAAAATGGTGATCCTAGTCAATTACCATCAGCACACCTGCCACAAGATGGGTTTGAACTCACAACCTTAGTATTGATAGGCTAGTGATACTGCAAATGAACTACTTAGACCACACAGCAACAAGGCCCATACATCATTAAAGGAATCATTTGTATGGCCTTTTAGACCTTTTTTGAGAATTTGTGTTAAGCAAGACAATTCATGAAAAACACTGATAACTGAAATGTTCAATGTCATGTTGGCACATGAGCACACACATCATCATTTTAAAGCAAAAGTTTAAAATTATTGAAAAATTGATGTCTATTTTGTGTTGGAGGCTAAAATAATAAATTATGTAGAAATAACATTTCTTCTTCTCACTGTTGGACTCATGCCATTTCCAAAATGACCCATTACCCACCATAAAAAAATCCTAAGTGAGAACCCTGCTTGAGATATACATACAGTGGTTTCCAATAGACAAGTGTCTACACAGTATGTGTAGCTATTAATCACCAACGATTTAAAACAAATTACAATGAGAATAAATTATACATCAATTTTCTATAATCTTTACATACCTACAATGAGGACAAGCACAATAGAGAGGCATATCTAAGTTGACTAGTTTATTGGCATTATCCTGCAAGACAAAAAACAAAATCCATATGGGTTTCAAATAATTAAACATTTTATTGAACAATAAATTTACAGAAAATGAACCTATCAACATGATCAATGGTATTTCATGTGCTGCACAAAAATACTGACTTTACTGGGCTGGTGGTACCCTCGAGGACGAAAGGTCTCAAGCATTGACATCAATTAAAACTCATAATATACAGGATTGTTGTTTTGGTTCAAAGTACCGTACTGTTGTCAGATATAACTGTTACTAATTGATAAACAAGAACCTCAAAGAAGCTGTGTAAGATAAAGAAAAAAAGAAGAAAAAATTCCTTATACTCAAGGTTTTCTTTGGTAAATTAATTGTCCTCTATCTAAATTAATCATTTTACCTTGACAGAGCTGGTACTAGAGACCTTGATGATTTTCTCAGGTCCACTACAGAAAAATCTGTGTCCCCTTGGACATTCATATTCATTTCCTAAATATATTCTAAGGTTTACTTCAGCTGTATCTTAAAAAAACAAATTTATATAAAACTTTATTACAATGAATTTTTCTTTTTCAAATTTTCAAAACATTACTGTTTAATTTAAATTTTTATGGATTGTTCGTTTCATTCATCTTGTTTACAAAACAGACACAAAAGACAAAGCAAACATGTGACCTTTCAATATATTTTATATAGAACTTTAAAAAAGGAATTTAAGTCCCTTGGTCTACATCTTAATCATATTCAAGTGGAAAAAAACAAAACCATGTTGTTTTCAAGGGTAGTTCTGAAATAAGGCAATGTCATAATTAACATCTTGAATATCAACTTGGTGTTATATACATGTCAATAGAAACAGTTACAAAATACCTTTAGAGCTTTTCTTTTGCTTTCCTTTCCTTGAAGCAGTTTCTCCAACAGATGGCCATTTGTCTTTCTCTGCTTTTACAGTAATGTCCCATGGCAACAGAAAGTGACTCCCATGAAGGAATCCTGGGTAATCTAAGCCAGTATTGTGGTTATACAAGCTAGCTTTGCCTATACAACACACAGCCCAAGATGGAAACTTAGGTAGTAATCCAGGTACAGATTCCGAATGGATCATTCCAGGCAAGTATTCAGTTGTAGAAACTTGTCTAAATGTGGCGGGTATACCTGTAATATTGATGTTACATACAGATTTAAAAAGGCTTCATGGAAATGTCAAGATGACAAACAGCAATAAAGGCTTTGCCTTTGATATATCAATGTTTTACAGTATTTTATGGGGTTGTTGTCTTGTGTTCATCTATCTCATATGTCCATTCATTGCCAAATAATCAGGCCTGCATTTTACCAAAAAAATTATGATTAAAATTGAAAGTAAGTATACTGAATTGTTCAAGACTTCAGATCAATTTTAGTCGTAAATTTTTTTGTAAAATGCAGGCTAGGCTTTGCAGTTTCAAAAATTTCAAGTACGATTATCGTACTCAGACTCAGAATTCAACGAATCAAAATACTGGATTTATTGCTTCAAGCACAACTTTTGTATTCAGAGTACTGAATAAAGTTTTATGACCAAGAACCAAGGACCTTATCTAGAAGTGTAACAATGAGTTTAAAAAACTCTTTGTGCTACAAACACTTCAAGCTGTAAAACTTCTTCATCTTCCATTTAAACAGCAGAAGTGATCTCAACTAATCATAAATTTTTGTAATCATCATTTTCTAGATAAAAATCAGGTTCCTTTTATCATTGCCCGGCTATTTATCTGTTTTGTCATATTTGTTTGTCCTTTATTGTTTTAAGAATAAAGCAGATCATTGGTTTTCTCTTTTTAATAGTTTTACATTTTGTCATTCCAAGGACAGTTATAGCCTATTATACAGTTCGGGTTATGCTTATTGCTAAAGGCTCTTTGATGACTCATACTTGCTTATACATGTACATGATACTTCCATGTCACTTGGACTCTGATGGATAGTTGTCTAATTGCCAATCTACATCTCTTTATTTTTATGTTGAAATTTAAATAGCAAAACTTTAACATGTCAAATATGCTAAATTTTCAAAGTCAAAAGACAATGATTGACATAACAGGGCCAAATAATCTCCATGGAATTAAGATACATGAATCATAATACAACTGCATACAAAATATCACTGACTTCAAATTGACCTTCCAGGGTTCTAGGATCAATTAATCAAGTACATCAGAACAATTTCGCAATATAGAAAATCGACCAACTCCCTAGACCATTCAACCAACATTGCCTAAATTTTTTGATTTAAAATTGTTTATATTCCTTAATTTTACCTAAAGCCGCCTCTCCTGGATGTTCTGCTTCAGGTTCTTCAGGCTCTTCCTCTTTCAATTCTTCTACCTTTTCTAACTTTTCTGTCGTTTCTTCAGTTGGACTAGTAGACACAATCTGATGGCTATCACCACTAGCTACCTCCTCTACAGCCTCTACATGAGGACTCGTAGTGGCAAAATTGTTTGGACTGATACCCTCGTGATGAGAATAGTCACTTCCACCAGACTGGCCTTCAATTTAAAATTTATTTTGAAAAATTCTTTTATATCATACTCCATGCTCATTTTAAAGTGCATAGGCATATCATTTGTCAATATTTTTTACACAGGGTGTAAGTGAGCATACAAGATAAGCATAGAGAATCCTATATACTGTGGATTCATTAATTTTCTTGGATACCAATTTTCGTATATTGAGGAAAAAAATGCATTTTTGTTGATATTTGATTTTGTGGTTTTGTCTGCCAATAGAAAATTTGTACTTGGATGATTTTAAATTCATGATTATTCTTTACCAACAAAATTAACAAATATTGAAATCCCATGAATGATAAGGAATCCATAGAAGTCTAATTTAGAATTTTATGTTCAAAGCAGAACTACAAGACATGTTCAAAGGGCAACTATTCATAAATTACTGTGAGTATGTACTATTGTAATTGTTAAACAATGGACATACATGCAAGATTAATTATTAAGATTTCAGGAAATGTTTTCATACAAATAATGCTATCAAAATTTAAAATTTGAGTTCTTATCTTTGTGAAACCTTTCCGGTCTCAACTTTTTTTCGCATAATAAAAACTTTGCATAAATTTCTGAATGTACAATATTTTGCTTTAATGAAGCAAAAAAACATTCTAGAAAACCAACTGTTTCATGATTAACAAGTGTAAAATTACATATTCTGTAGACTTACTTTTATAAAAAAAATATTTTGTTTCCAAGTAAAGGAACACCAACAGACTTGTCCATTTTTATCTCTGGTATGGATCTAGATACAACTGATGTTACAAGTTTAATTGTGGTGTGCACATGTTCCCCTTGTTTTGATAGAATTATAACATAGCTTTACAAAGTGAAAGAAGAGTATCACCCTAGTCCAAACCTCTCAAGATAAATGGCAAAATTTAGGACTTTCTTGATATCAAATATGAGTAAATGTATGTTTCAGTATCATTTGTGTAAAAGCCAGTAATGAAAGTAGATTTTTGATGAAAAAATACCACAACATCAACAGCCAACTGAGCTTTAAATTCAAGTGTTGTACATAAAATGTAATATGCAGCTGTGTATACATTTTGTATTCTGGGTAGATTCATTGGATATATTATTGTATTTTAAAATGTGCAGGCAAAATGGTGGTTGTCAATTCATACATATAAAACTCCCAATTTGAAACTTTGAAATATGCCTAATAATATCTGATCATAAAGATATACAGAATTTTTCATCTTTTCATCTGATAAATTGCAAAGTCAAATTTTATTGATTCTTGCTAGATAAAAGTTTTGACAAAATAAAACCATATTTTTAAATATTTCTTGAAAGCATTTTTATTATCAAAATGTTTTTATGAAGACTGAAAATGTCATTTACCTAAACTTAATGCTAGACTGAGATTAGCCATGCCAGAGACAAGGTCTCCAGATTTGACTGTTGGTGTGTCTCCTTGTGAGTTTTTATGTGCTCTCTCTATCTTTTTTACTTGTGCAGCTCTAGCCTCGGCCGTGCTAGGTTTGAACGATGGTAAATCTACATGTTCAAGTTTTCCACAACAACTATCTTCTAAACCTGCGTAGAAATCATAATTGGCAGCCTGTAATTAAAAAACAATAAATTAATTTTTAAATATTCGTAAATATTTTGTTCAAAAAATAAATAAAAACATTAGTCATGCTTCAACATGAATAACTTCAATAATTAAATATCTTCCTTACACATGTTAGCCCCAGAAGATGAAGAACACAAAAAATAAAACAATTATAATGCTATTTACACTTTTAAAAATTATTTTTATTTAAATGTTCCAAAGCTAAATTTGTATAGATGACATGAACAAAAATCTTGATTTAATAAAATTCTGTAAGCCAATTAAAATTAATCTGTAAAATTTTATCTTTGGACATTAGTTTAAGAAATGGCATTTAAGATAAACATCATTTAGGAATGCTGTTTCTATATAGCTGTAGCTAAATAACTGACTTCTTGTTGTATCAAGCACATTTTAACCCTGCCTTCCAAATTATGTGCAGGTTTATTTATTGTGTTTTACATTTATGACATATGGTCTAAAGTAGCAAAGAGGATGCTTGGGTGCATATAACACTGGTTCTACCCCACTACATTTTGTGCCTGTATTATTAAGACTGGCTTTTTGGATCATTAGTTGTTCGTTGTTGTTTGTGTTTGTTTGTATGTCTGCTTTTTTCCATGGAGATTCCTGTTATTGTTTTTATGTGTTATGAAGATGACATGTATGCATATATTGAATGCAAAGACATTTTTGAACATGCTGTTATCAAATTTAAAAAAAAAAGAAGCTGTATTGGGTAAGGGTGTGAAAAAATGTTAAGTCCTTTTATAGCATTTTATACGATATGATTTTTCTCATTGTTGAAGGCCTTATGGTGACCTATAATTGCTTATATACACTTCATTTGAACTCTGGTAGAAAGTTGTCTCTCATTGGCAATCATACTACATTTCCTTATTTTTATAAGAATATAAATAACAAAACATTGGTGATTGCATTTAGAACAGTTTCCCCAATATAAATGCATTTAATTTTTTTTTTTTTTTAAACTTGATTTAAGGTAGGTCTTGAAAAAAAATCCAATTTACATTTTTTCATCAAATAACCTTAAGGTGAAGAATTCTGACAGTTTTTTTATTTTCATGAATGATGTGTATTCAATTATCATCTAACTTTTTGTGTTTTACTTAAAAAATAAGTGCACCATAAGTACTACAATTGCACAACCTTGTGATCAAATGGATCATCTTTGTCAGCTTGTTTCCTGCCACAATTACAAGCGGCTCTTGTCTTTAGCTGGTTTGTGTGTGGCATCACTGGTAAATGTCTGTTACTGTCTAACTCTGGTTCATCTGGTAGTCTGTGTAACTATAAGAAGATGAACATTTCACTCAAAAGTCATTTTAAACTGAAAAAGCCAATTTACTTTGAACATGATATGAAATATTTTGTTTTTGTCCAGATTGCTGTATTACTGTGCAAAAGAAAAAAAATCTGAAATATCACCTAGAAAAAATTGGTAATAAAAGCTGGATATCACTCTTGAAAGGACAAGACCAGATTTTTCAAAATTATTTCTTGAAAGCATGTTTAAGATAGATCAATGCTTTTATCATGTTTAAGGAAATGTAAATTATTATTTTGATTCATGCACTTTCATTGCAGTAAATCAAATTATGTTCAGACATGCCAATACCTTTTGTCAAAGCTTTGTTACAGTAGAACTGAATACTATAGTTTGCATTTTAGAGGGTCCAGACCACAATTTTATTAAAAAAGATCTGAATACTATAATTTGCCGTTTAAAGGGTCCAGCCCACAGTTTTATAAAAGAAGAACTGAATACTATTATTTGCCTTTTAAAGGGTCCAGCCCACAATTTTATTAAAGAAGAACTGAATACTATAAATTGCCTTTTAAAGGGTCCAGCCCACAATTTTATTAAAGAAGAACTGAATACTATAAATTGCCTTTTAAAGGGTCCAGCCCACAATTTTATTAAAAAAGATCTGAATACTATAATTTGCCTTTTAAAGGGTCCAGCCCACAATTTTATTAAAGAAGAACTGAATACTATAAATTGCCTTTTAAAGGGTCCAGCCCACAATTTTATTAAAGAAGAACTGAATACTATAAATTGCCTTTTAAAGGGTCCAGCCCACAATTTTATCAAAAAAGATCTGAATACTATAATTTGCCTTTTAAAGGGTCCAGCCCACAATTTTATTAAAGAAGAACTGAATACTATAATTTGCCTTTTAAAGGGTCCAGCCCACAATTTTATTAAAAAAGATCTGAATACTATAATTTGCCTTTTAAAGGGTCCAGCCCACAATTTTATTAAAGAAGAACTGAATACTATAAATTGCCTTTTAAAGGGTCCAGCCCACAATTTTATTAAAGAAGAACTGAATACTATAAATTGCCTTTTAAAGGGTCCAGCCCACAATTTTATCAAAAAAGATCTGAATACTATAATTTGCCTTTTAAAGGGTCCAGCCCACAATTTTATTAAAGAAGAACTGAATACTATAATTTGCCTTTTAAAGGGTCCAGCCCACAATTTTATTAAAGAAGAACTGAATACTATAAATTGCCTTTTAAAGGGTCCAGCCCACAATTTTATTAAAGAAGAACTGAATACTATAAATTGCCTTTTAAAGGGTCCAGCCCACAATTTTATTAAAGAATACTATAAATTGCCTTTTAAAGGGTCCAGCCCACAATTTTATTAAAGAAGGTCTGAATACTATAATTTGCCTTTTAAAGGGTCTAGCCCACAATTTTATTAAAGAAGAACTGAATACTATAAATTGCCTTTTAAAGGGTCCAGCCCACAATTTTATTAAAAAAGATCTGAATACTATAGTTTGCATTTTAGAGGGTCCAGGCTACAATTTTATTAAAGAAGGTCTGAATACTATAATTTGCCTTTTAAAGGGTCCAGCCCACAATTTTATTAAAGAAGATCTGAATACTATAATTTGCCTTTTAAAGAGTTCAGCCTACAATTTCATTCCAGAAGAATTTAATACTATAATTTGCTTTTCAAAGCTAGCCCACAATTTCATGTAAAAATAACAATAACATACTACATGAATTTCAATAAATAATATCTACACACATTACATTATAAAGAGAGAAACTATTTTCTTCTTACTGGATTAATGCAATGATTGCCTGTAACACTAATTTCTTCACAGAGTTGTCTCCCATTTTTCCAGAATTTTTCACATGCTTCATCTAACTGTACCAAATATTTCTCTGTAGCAGGTCCTCTAGCAAACTGATGGAAAACCCTGTGTGCCTGTTGTAACTGAAATATTTAAAAAAAAAAAAAAAAAGGATTATGTATGACTTAATGTTATATATGAAATATTGAATTAAGTGCCAGTCTTTGTAAGAATCAGTCAATTTTGAAAAAAATCAAAACATGGCTGAAAAAAAAACGCCGACCTAAACATCCTATTTTGAAGTTATCCTCATCCTTAGTTAGAAATGGTATGTCTTTCATTTCTGCATGTCTGGTAATTGGAGAAATCTCTTGATGAATTTTGGTTAGAATGATAGCAAAAAACAGAGTTAGCTCCCCTTAATAGTTAATTTCTAGTGCATTTCAACCAAATTATATCTTGAATTACCAGACCAGGAAAATGAAACGAATGTTATATTCGTGCACCATTATATATTTTGAACATAAATTAATGTCAACTTGAGCAGGTTTTTGTTTGTCATGTTTCTTAAGCAGATTGGCACTTCAAAATAAAATATTTTGTGCTTGGAAAAGATAAGGGCCGTTCATATTTAAACTTATGGGGGGATGGGAGGCACTCAAACTAATAAATTGTGGGCAGTTGCATTTTCCTAAGATTCTTGTTAGAATTATAAATAAAATGAAAATTACATAGTATGGAAGGTTGGGGTCTAAAGAATGTCCCTGCCATTCTAAATTTTAAAAAGCATTATCCAATTTATCATTTTTACATATAAAAAGAAATCCTGGAGAATTCAGATACAACTTAAAATGAATGTAACTGGTTCAATTTTGTCCTCTATGTATATCCTTAAACAATTTATATAATACAGTATACACCAGGAGATTCAGTCAAAAATCACTTCTGTTGGTGTTGAGTGATTCACTGTTGATCAGGGTAATTACTAGAGATTTGAGGTGACAACACTCTGACCTATGACTCTTTGATATACTTTTTATTGAAAATAAATGAGTTTTTATTTAAAAGTGAATCACCCCTCAATCACCAACAATGATTGAAAATTCACCACTGAGTGGCTGAATCAGTCTTGTATGTACTGAACAGTATTAGTCACAGAATACATAAGGAAATCTTACTTTGTTCAGATGGAAGTTTGTAACATAATGTGTTGGTAATCCTTCTTGGTAAGCAGCTTCAGCTACAGGTAAAACTTTGTTACAGCGACTGTAATAGTCAAAAATAGTTACAATGTACAGTAGAAAACTTCAAATTAATGGTTAAAATGACAAAATATGTATGCGATTAATTTACATGAAGTTTCAAAACTTTCTATGTTAAAATATTCAGAAACAGATAACTATATATTGATATTGCTTTTTTTTTTCAATAGGAATTTTGTTGTTCAAATTTTGTATAATCTTCTGTTTTATGGAAGAGAAAGAAAAATTTTAAGACAGATTTGATAGGATAAATCCTATTCTTAACTATAAAAAACATTTTTTTTTGCACTATGATTATGTGCCATATTATTAAAATTTTAACTCAACATGGTTTGAATTTTATATATTTACTGTTAATGACCAGATAGTGATCATTTTTTTTCACTCTACTTACTGTAAATTCAGAAATTATTGCGTGCATTTATTATTGAGATATTTGAAGAACAGACAAAAAGGAGAGATTATGATTATTGCGATTTCAGGAAAGGCGTTATACAGATCTATGTATCAGATATCAGAATGCGAATTCTTATTATTGCGATACTCACCCAGTCACAATATTCGCATTAATAAAAACCTCGCAATAATCTTTAAAATTTACAGTAATTGTGATATTGTCTAATCTCAGCTGTATCTCCAATATAGTTTCATTTTTACAGATTTTGAAGTCAGGTTGATTATTTCACTGTGTTTAAATTTGGAAAATTTCTGGTGCAAAATTTCTTTGTAAAGTAAAAGTTTTACATTTTTCTTGTCCATGACTATATTCTTTAAAGAACAATTTAACTTGAGGGGATAATTTGCTATTTTATCTTAATCTGGAAATAACTAAAAAATAAACTAAAATTTCCACTCTAAATCCAGAAAAGCACTTCGGACGCATGAAATTTATAACGGTGTTGTTTTCATTTTTTTACAATAGAAGGAATTTTGAAGATTATTTGCATACTTCTCTGAGAATCTGATATCAGTTTCCAGTAAAGATTTAAGGGTGTTGAAGTGAGCCTGAGCTTTAGCATTTATCCTTTCTCCAAGGAAGAAATCATACAATCTGTTTGCTATCATAAACCATAACTCACATGTTGGTACCTATTTAAAAAAAAGAAATGATTTATTCTTAAATCAATTCTTCTTATGTTTAAAACATTAAGTACTCAATTATTGTAAATTCAGAAATGTTTGCATTCATTTATTTTTTTCTATTATGGAACAATAATTCAATTTTAGATGTAACACATCTTCTGATTGGCTGAAAGTTTTTTGTCTATCAGCTCAAAGACATAATTTTGTCATGTGACCGTGATGTCATCAACGGTTTTTTCATGATTTATTCCTTAAAAATGGAATTCAGAATTAAATTATAAGGACTGACTGTAATATTTTTCTGTCTATTAGAAATAACATAAAAAAATCTGGTGCACACTTTTAAATAACATGCTGCACACCACATTTTTGATGTTATTTCTTCATAGACAGAAAAAATATTATAGTCATTCCTTAAATGGACAAAAATGTGAGATTAACTATTGCAATGTCAGGAAATGCTGCATACAAACACTGCTATCTGATATTATTCAAAATGCTAGTCCATATTGTTGTGAAACCTATATCATGTTGCAATTTTCCCAATTATAAAATCATTGTAAAAATTTCAAAATAACAGTACTAAATATTAATTCCAGGTATTTTTGTATTTTGATTGGTCAATTAATCCTGAGGGTTGTTCAATTAATGGTACCAAGAGAAGGCACTTTGATAATATGATAACCGTCCATAGAAGCAATTTACATAAATTTTAAATGTGTACAACAAAAATATTGCACACCCAACCAAAGTGAAAAATTCAAGTTGCCTTCCCTGGGTCCAATGTATGTTTTTATGGTACAACACTGAAAATATATTCAAATTAATTATGTCTATTGGTTTGCCAATGATTCTGCACTCTAGACTTATCAATATGTCAAAGTAACTCTTTTATAGTTTCTGTGTCTATATCACCCTCCTCAGTAACTGCTTAATTATTGTGTCAAGGCTTTGTGATATTATAGCAGAACTTATCTCAGCGACAAGAATTTATCAGTTCTGTCAAAATTTATGAGCATAACTTATCAGACTTGCATTCTGTACGACAACCAAGTGCACATGTGTAAGAGTGTCAAAATTAAAAGAATTAGTACGATAAACAGATTATCAGATTTTGTGAATACAGATATTCTAAAATATCAGCCACTTGACACAATGTGACTTGGAGCTCTTATTTTACAAAATTAATGTGCAGAAAACCAGATAAACTAAATGTAGTTGCAATTTTACTAATAATATGATATATATTTTTAAGAAAGTTTAGTTTTGCTACATAAAGTCCGAATAAAAAACAAAAAATATAAAAACATCAACCAAATTGTTCCTACCTCAAAGACAGGTGTGACTGGGTTCCTTCCAACATTATCATCAAACCCTCTGCCTAGTGCTAGTTCAACATGCTGAAACAAAAACTCTTTAAATGTGCTGTTTCCTGGTACAGGAGCTGTGGGAAGTGAAGATGACCTAGTTTCTGACCCTGACTGTGAGGAATGTCTGTTGGATTGATAACCTCTACTTCTTGGTGATTCTAGAATAAAAACAACATTGTGTAGATTTAAGAATTTTTTTCAATGTTTTTATATTTGTGAAAAATTGCAATACCATAGATTTTGCAAAATTAAAAGCACATATTTAATTTGATAGCATTATTTTTATGCAGCATTTCCTGAAATCACAATAGTTTATATTACATTCAACAATCCAAATAATAAGGGCGCAACATTTCTGATTATACAGTACTCACACTAGTTAAATAGGATTGTGTCTTTTTTTATAAACAAAGCACAACATTTTCTATCAACTTAGTTTTCTTGACTACACTGATTGAAACTAGAAGCCTAATTGTTTAATTACTTTATAACAATTTATAGACAAGGGTACAATGATAGCTTTGACATTGATGCTCCTGACTAATGTTTTGTAGAATTGCTCAATTTTTCTGATATTTGGATTGAATGTGTTTTTGTGGTAAGTTTTTTTTTTTGAAACGTAAATTATATCCCTCTTGGTATAATGAACACGATGAACAAGATAAAAACTTAATGAAAAGTATCCCTTCACCAGAGTGGTTTATTTGAAACTCTTGTTAATTGGCTCACAGATCAGTTCATCTTTCCAGATAAAACAAATGGTCCAAAATAGTTATATGAAAGCTGGGGGTTATTTAAATTAAGTGGCTGATGTCAGTAACATCATCAAAATTAAATAATGTAAAAAGCTCTAATATACAAATAAATGAGGTTAATAATCAAATTGTGTACCTCCTATATATTGTTTCATTAATTCTTATATGGATAATATAATTGATGTTGTTAAATATTAAATTAGTTCAAGTTTGACTCAATATAGATATCTTTTTTCAATTACTTTGCTTAGCAATGAAGCTTTATTGTTTTCAAAATACTGCTTAATCAGATTGCAGTTTTAGTTCATGTTGCAGTTGTAATTCATTTATAAACATGTAAAAGACTTATATTTGCCCATGTTAAACAAACAAGAGATAATTTAACTGTGTATCATGCTTTCAATTAACTATAAAACCCATTTCTGCTTGATCCTTTTGCACATTCAAGAAGAATTTTGTTAAAGATATTATCTACAACTTTTATGTCTGGTAATGTCATTATTTGATTCTCAGTGTTGTATGCAAAGAGAGATAATCCTTTGTTGTTTTACATACATTCTTCTTCAATAATATACTAGGCCCATTACCTATACTGTTATTCATTCTCAACTGTTGTAGATAGAAACTGACAGGATCTGATATCTCTTCTTTCTTTGTGTGTATGTAAACAAACTCCTGATTGGCTGGCACAGCAAATAATGAATTGTTACTGCAATTATATAAATATAGGAATTGTTTACTGCAATCACACTAACACCGAAGGAATTGTTATTGTAATGTTAAATTTTTACCTAAATGCATTTATGTGACCATCATTGCTTTTTCTTTTGATATTGAATACATGCATCGGTAAATGTGACCATCATTACTTTTTCTTTTAATATTGAATATAGGTAATATGTAAAAACAGATGATACAACTTTAGTACAAATGGTTGCTATCTTATGTTTTGGTATGCTAGTACATTTCAAATATTGTTTTACATTTATCTAATATATTTTTTTCCAGCTAGTTTGTGTATAAAGAATTCAAAGTAAGTTCCTTTAGGACCCAAAAATCTCAAATATACTGGCATCTATTTGAAATAATCTCGACATAACAGACATAAACAGACATGTTTTAGCTAAATAGGCATTTACTGCAGCTTCTCCTGTTGATAGGAAAGGAACATTAGGACAGCACCTAGGTTATATTCAAAACACTTTTGGGTTATGTTTAAATTATACACATTTCAAAATAACGTGATCATGTATTAGGTAATCTTCCTGTATCCCAATTAATTTTCATTAAGTCTTTCTACTTTTCTGTGGAAAGACCTATTGTTTTTGTTCTGATTATTATTTTTTTTTTTTTTTTCTTCTTCCGCCACTTTTATTTCTTGCGTATAAATTTTGTTTCGCAAGATGTCGCTTAGATGTTTGGTATATGATATCGAACAGTTTATGCGCCTTTGAAATTCACCCTGCGTAACTGAATACTTTTCTTTGTAGGAGTTATCTCCCCGAACACTGTTTTCCTTGTGACTGCATCTCCTCCGTAACCGTATAAGAAAGCGACAAATTTATTTTATAAAATTGCTCGTTATATCCTTCGCATGATTTGTTCGATTTTGAACGAAGCCATACGAACACTCCATATGAGAGTTATTTCCCCTTATGCATTTGAAATAAGTGATATGCATTTATAACTGGTAAACCATAAGTGATAGAGACCTAGAGTCTGTTGATTTGAGGTCCTTGGTCCTAAAGAATAGAAAACTAGGTCAAGGTCAAGGTCATGTTGCGATTTTTTACATTAAGTTCATATCGCTTCTTCCTAGAAAGAGTTATAGATATCGACAAAACAATTTAACCAAAAAATTGTCGCGACACGTGTTTACTAGAAAATTTTTGTCGAAATGGTACCCGTCATTTTATTGCAGGGTCAATGTCCCTGTTATGGTCGAATCAACAAATTACTTATCAAAACTTCAAACTTTGCAGCTATCATGTTGTAAATGTTTCTTATCTCAATTATCAACCACAGTCTACCACTACACTCCCCCCCCTTTTTTTTCAACTGATTTTTTTTTAAGTTATCCCATTTCTATGAAAAGAAAATTGCTTTTAGTGCCGTACATTATACTGTAAAATATCTATCCTTCTTATGTACAAATTTCTTTCTGAAATAGAAATCCATCCCTGCAAAAATCTGCTCCAATTCATGTATTTTCTGAAATAAATCGATGAGACACGTGCAGTCCGCTTGATTGCGTAATTAAAATCAATGTCGTAGAAATCGCTCCTTGAAGTTCGTAAATATTACTGAAATTCTACAATCAAATTTCTAAACATGCATTAAAATACAAATCTGTGCTCCCGTATACATGTGTACGTAATATGTATGCGTGATCCGACATCAACGACCTGTACAAAATAAAAACAATAGTTATCGTGTTTCTCTGATCAATACACATGTGCTCTGTTCAACGGTCTCCCCTGAAAAGAAATTAATATTCTAACTCCAGACATATATATTCGAGAGTCACGTGATCTCACAACATCATCTCGCGCGCTGACCTAAATTTAGAATAAAACATTGCATATCCAAATAAGGAAAATAAAACTTCCAAGATAAAATTTACTCCGTTTTCCTACAAATTCAATCAAAATGCATACACAACAAATAGATGAAAAATGGAAGTCCGAAGTAACATAGAAACTAGAGAAAATTTATAAACGAATGATGCTGGGATCAACTTTTATGAGGACATCTCAGGTGTCCGTTTAGCTGTGTGGGATGTCTAAGTACGCAGTCACATTCAGTCAGAACATAGGCGTTATTTAAGTTAGCTGCGTCGCACAGAGAAAGTGCCATGCAATCAATCAATCAATCAATCAATCAATCAATCAATCAATCAATCAATCAATCAATCAATCGACCGACCAACCAACCAACCAACCAAAAAACCAATTAATCATGTTTCGGAGGGGAAAGACCGTTTAACAATTGTTTTTAAAACAATTGATTTATATTTGTAAAATGTATCTTTGTATTCTAAGTGTAAGGAAGCATTCTATTTTTTTTTCGTTTGAATTGTTTAAAATACTGTCATGTCAGGGTTTTTTATTGCTAACTATACGATATGGGTTTTGATCAATTTTGAAGCCTACAGTGAACTATTATTACTTAAATCTATATCATTTGGACTGCGAAGGACAGTTGTCTCATTAGCAATCATACCACATTTCCTTATTTTATATTACTGTGGATTCATTATTATTCGTTAGATACAAATTTTCTTAGACTTTGTGGGTACAGATTAAACTCCAATTTAGATGTTGAATAAAGAACAAATGTTCTAAAGGCTTGTATACAGACTTTTGAAAACCACGAAATCAAATGTCCACGAAAAATAAATGAATACACAGTAATGTTATTTGTGTACCTAATATTTGTTATGATCCGAGACTTTCTCAGTATCCTGTAGATCTGATCTTCAATTGCATGAACTAACTTCTTTTCAACTGAAAATTTGGTCTGAAAAATATAACCATACAAAACACATCAGTTTGTTTTTTAAAACAATCTTGAATCATGTCTTTTCATAGAAATGGCTACTTATTTGTGGATCAAATGCATATGGGTACAATAATGAGATAAAGTATTCATGAGATTTGTCAGTATTGATATGAAATCTGAATTTAAAAAAATCCATTGGGTATTAAAAGTTATGGTGTTGAAGAAATTTATATATGTTTTTAATAACATGAAATTTAAATCATTTCCATATAACTTACATGTCGTGTGCATAACAGATTCGGCCATCTCAATCAATAGGATGATTTTCTTCAAAAACATATTCATTTCAAATATTTTCAGAGATTCAGTGGAAAGTCGAAAACGTAAATGTGAAAAATTTAGTGGTAAATGATTAATATGGTGTTATTATATGACTCTCTTCTTTCACCTAGTTAACAAAGCTAAATTCTAATTCCAACTAAAGGAACTGTAAGCAAAGCTCACAAAAGATACCCCCTCCCTAACATACAAGTATGTAAAAGTCTATGATTTGCTTAGGGAAACTTCAAATATAAGGTGGATAAAAAAAAATAGGAGGTGCAACTGCCATTACATGGATAAGATTCTTAGACAGTTTTAACAACACTAATAATGGGTTTAGAAGAAGTTGTATATACAAAGAAGGTACTCTCCAAATAAAGCAATGAAAAAGTTCAAAGTCACAAAAACAACCAATCTAATAATAACCGCAGTTTTATTTTTACTGATGGCACCAGTATCAACTGGTTCTGTTTTCTTTGTCAATGTTGTTGATTCAAACATGAAGAGCACTCTAGGGGAACAAGGTCTCCCGGAATGATACCAGTCCTTAGAAATTGGAAATCCATGTAGCTGTTCTGTTATACTGTGCAGCAGCTTCAACCTAAAAGGAATTGGATAAACTATATAATTTTAAAATTTCTCATTTGGTCAAGTTTTATGGTTATAAAATATACTTGACCATTCTTTTGCCGGATGCCTACTCACTTGATAAAATTATCAACATATTGAGAAAGGGTAACATGATAAGATATAATTATCAACATATTGAGAAAGGGTAACATGATGAGATAAAATTATCAACATATTGAGAAAGGGTAACATGATGAGATAAAATTATCAACATATTGAGAAAGGGTAACATGATGAGATAAAATTATCAACATATTGAGAAAGGGTAACTTGATGAGATAAAATTATCAACATATTGAGAAAGGGTAACTTGATGAGATAAAATTATCAACATATTGAGAAAGGGTAACTTGATGAGATAAAATTATCAACATATTGAGAAAGGGTAACTTGATGAGATAAAATTATCAACATATTGAGAAAGGGTAACTTGATGAGATAAAATTATCAACATATTGAGAAAGGGTAACATGATGAGATATAATTATCAACATATTGAGAAAGGGTAACATGATGAGATATAATTATCAACATATTGAGAAAGGGTAACATGATGAGATATAATTATCAACATATTGAGAAAGGGTAACATGATGAGTATAACATGTTTGTAGCAGGATCTGCTTACCCATTCATAGCATCTGAGATCACCCCTGTTTTTTTTTGGTGTTGTTTGTGTTGCTGAGTCTTTAGTTTTTTATGTATTGTTTTGTAGACTGTTTGTCTTTTCAGCACTTTTGTTTTTTTTGCCATGATTTTGATGGTCTCTTGTGAGTTTTGATTCTCCTTTTTGTTTTTTTTGCCATGATTTTGATGGTCTCTTGTGAGTTTTGATTCTCCTTTTTGTTTTTTTTGCCATGATTTTGATGGTCTCTTGTGAGTTTTGATTCTCCTTTTTGTTTTCTTTTGCTTCTTTTAAAGCAGAGATATGTCTGGCCTATGCTATCTCAAAGCAAACTTTTTCATGTCAGGACTTTTTATAGCTGACTATATGATATGGATTTTTCTCCTTGTTGAATGCCACACTGTTGCCTTTAATAGCTTACATTCACTTCATTTGAACTCTGGTTGATAGTTGTCTCATTGGCAATCATACCACATCTCCTTATTTTTAAATTTTTATCTACTTAGAGGGTAAAAAAATACTATATTTCAGTGTAAAATTTGCCTTGCTATGCTTGTCACTGTTTGAACTATTATGGACAATTACATCCCCTTTCTACGAAACCCTAGATCCACCCCTAGTAAAGTATGTCATATTTGCTGCTGGAGGATACCTAGTTGTAATAAATCCATCTAAAAAACAGCAAGATTTGTTAATGGTAAAAAAGCAAGTTGGCAAAAAAACTGCACTAGGATCATGGGATTTCCAATATTATTCTGACAGAATTGTACATTAATAGTAAAAAACTAAAAGAGAAACAACATACCTGATAGTATCTATAGTTCTGAATAGTCTGACATAACTGACATCAAAAGAGGATCCTGGGTGTGACAGCTAAAAACAAAAATATTAATTATTCAAAAGTGCACACATTCAGGGGCTGCTCTGGCTCCAAACAGTTGGAGACAGAAAAATCGCCAGCTGCTATATTTTGTTGCCAGTTTGGAAAACTTGGGAGTCAACATTAGAGCCAGCTAGAGTTTTGATTTCCACAGTGAAACCAATTAATTTAAATTTCTTATGAACTCTTCATCATTTAACTTTAAGTGATGATTTGTCATGTAATGTATGCCCTGTTAGTTTATGCTTTTCTTCCTTTCTGTGAAAGAACAAAACAAACAGGTTCATAGACACCAGGGTTTAAGCTAAGATTTTGAGGGCTTAAGGTCACTTTTGTGTGGTAAAAAAGGAACATATTGTATGTTTTTGTTTTGATTGTTATGTCTCAAAACAGGGACTAATGCAAGAATGTGTCCATAGTACACGGATGCCCCACTAGCACTATCATTTTCTATGTTCAGTGGACCTTGAAATTAGGGTCAAAACTCTAATTTGGCATTAAAATTAGAAAGATCATATCATAGGGAACATGTGTACTAAGTTTCAAGTTGATTGGACTCCAATTTCATCAAAAACTACCTTGACTAAAAACTTTAATCTGAAGCAGGACAGACAGAAGAATGAACGGACTAACGAACAGATGCACAGACCGACCATATAAACTCAAAAGACCTTCTAAACCTCTAAGTTTTAATGTCAGAAGTATGAAGACATATTTATCTTGAGTATGTATTTCAATACTAGGAAAAATTATAATTGAGTTATCTTTCTTGTTTCAGGTGTGCTCCTTCTTCTCCGGAGAATAATACACAGTAGAAGTGAACAAACAATGGTGGATGTTATGTTATTTTTTTATCAAAAGTACAGGCAGGCAAATACAAAATATGTCTGAATTAAACATTTTTAACAATATTCAAGTAAAACAATGTGTTTAAATAAGTTCATTACGGTTTTCGTCTTTCTGTCAATTGCGTTTTCATCATGAAACTACGTTAAACTTTGCAAATTGTGTGGTCGTATGTCGAAATGACACATGGACAAATGCTGACTGACAGATGTTATTTGTATTAATTAAATTCCATCATTATTAATGACTCATCGGATAAGCCGATTACATGTAACAACAAATTATGACACCTGTTGTAACCGTTGATTAGCTTGGGTCGTAAATAGAGTCATAAACTTTTTGCCAGATAAATTTTTGTACAATATATTTTTTTACTTTCACAAATTTGAGTGATCATCGATTTTATTACTGTTACAGTTAAGAAATGAAAATTTTGACATGGGAAAATGTTGGCATCAGAAATATTGCCAGCAGTCTTATTTTGTCGCCAGATGAAATAAAAAAATCGCAATTTGAGCCATTGGTAAAGCCTAGCTTGGTCCTTGCACACTGAAATGTTTCTCTTGACTTTAATAACTGATGAAAGATTATTGATATACCCATTACTATAGGCCTAAGGAGCCTAAATTTCTCACCTTGGACCATAGCAAACTTTGGAAACCAGGTGGTTTCAGAAACAATAATACAGTAGTAAGAAAATTAATACATTGTCTGCTTTGGTTTTAGAAATAATTTATAAACTAGATTATCATGGAGTATATATAAAAAGATTGCTTCAAATGTGTTCAACCTTTTCAGGAGAAGAATTTTGAAAAACTTAATGCTGATGAATGACTTTACAGTGACAATCATTCACAAATGAGTCTTCCAATTTTTAAAGTAATATCTAGATCGTGTTTCCATGATTACTTTTGCAATCTGTAATTTCACTTAGCTACAATTTTGCAATGATAATCAAACCTGTGAAATTTGCTAAAACTTTTTAATTTTAGGGGTTATAATTTCAAAATTGGCTTCTTCATGTCCATAAATATAAACTTACAATTATGATATGGGATATAGAGAAGAGCCACAACAGTGTTTTAGCATGTCTGTATTCTTCTTTCTGCCACATGTTAAAAAAGTCCTGAAAACATATGTGAAAGTACTATGTAACATCGATAAAAGCTATTTTTAATTTGTCGTTAACATATTAATTCTTCACAGCAGTTTAGTTACAGATTAAGGAATGTTCACCTTTAATTCATATAACTAACAAAAGTTGTATATACAGTCGACTCTCGTTATCTCGAAGTCAGCCGGACCAGAGAAAGATTTTGAGATACCCAACAAACAAACAAAAACCGGAAGTTTGACAGTCCAAGGGACATAACTCTTGCTAAGCTTTGTAAGGCTAAAATAAATCCGGATGGGAAGGGGATCGATATTCTGGTCTCAGATCAATGTTTTTGTATGTTATGGTCTTTTATTATTATAATAACATTTTATGTCTCTTATTTATTACTTTGTACAGTTACAATTTGTCCCTGTGGCTTTAAGCCGAGAGAGTCATTTTCAATCGATCTTAGCGTTATTTAAAGTTGACAAAATTGTTCATACTCGTATACAAGAGATTTTAGAAAATTAAGATTTCTTTTATTTTTCTTTCATTAAAATACAACAAAAAAATAATGACGACGATTGAGTAGTTTTGGGTTGATCACCAACGGAAGTCTTAATCCCCACTTTATACACACTCACACAGCCAAGCTCATTAGTGTATGATTACGATTATTTGTTTTTAAAACATTTTAAATAATTTTTCATAAACTATAACAATGTATCACTAATTATTTATCATGGTGATCAAAGAATCTTAGGTAAACACTCGTGGAAAAAGCATGTCATAAATCAATACAGTGGTCAGTAACCGGAAATTTAATTACACGTGTATTGTCAGATTAACTCTTCAATCCATTTAAATCTCCGAGGTCATGTTTTGGTTCGAAATAAATAATGAACTTTGAATGGTTTTGTTAATCTTGGGACCATAGATTTAGTTCGAGTCAACCGAAATTTCGACTCATCCAATTTCGACTCATCAGGAGTCAAATACATATATTTATATGGAACAAAGTTCGGGACCACGAGAAAACTTCGACTCATCCGAAATTTCGAGTCAATCGAGTTCAAGACAACGAGAGTTAACTGTATCTATCTCTTAATTTTGTATTATAAAAGTGCATAGAAGCATACAACACGTGAACTTGGCAAATTGTATATTTGTAATTAAGTAACCTTTAAAATGCCCAAAAACGAATCTAAATAAATGAAGTAAAATTTTGTCCTAAGAGACATACTGTAACATGTGTGATATTTTGATATAAATTCAATCTTGAGAATCAAAACAACCATTACTGTGGATTTGTTTATTTTTGTGGATACCAATTTTTGTTGATTGAGGAAAAGTTGCCTTTTGTGGATATTTGATTTCATAGTTTTGCCAAAATCTGCATAAAAAACTTGTAATTTGTTGAACATTTAACACAGTTCACTTGTACCCATGAAATCCATGAAATTAGTGGAGCAGAATTTTTTCAAGAGCATCTGAGCTCTACATTCAAATTTCACTTTACAAAAACTGCTTTTCAGACTCACTAGTCACATTTTCCAGTCAGCATTTACAATACCTCGGCATACAAAAGTATAAAATTAACACCAAAAAGAACTGCCAGATATAAACACTGGACAACTTCATGTCTCATATATTTGATGACAACATACCTCTAAATATTATGAATGTTGACGAATTTTTAACTAAAAGTTTTGGCCATTTATCTTTTTGGAAATATTTTATTAATACACTTGTGAATTAATTCTAGCCTATCTAGTACACATGTACCTGATCAACATCTTGATTAATAAGTCTCTGACACTGTACGGCTAACCTGTATGTATCATACATACATGTATGGTGTAAATGCACAACTTGACTTTCTGCATCGTAGAAACACTCTACTGCATCCTACAAAATATGAAATTTAAAAATTGAATCCATTTATACAAACAATGAAATACTTTTAATTACATATGTATATAACTCATTAAAAGATTAATTGTGAAAAATATTTGTGAATATAGTCCAAAAATTCTATGATCTAACAATTTAAATCATGACATAATTCTCGATTGTATGCACAGACCTGAGTTTAAACAATTTTTTAAGATCCAGGGTCTGAGGAAAGGGATGTGTAATTGTCTGTAATGGTGAAAGTAATACAGAACAAAGCAAGGTGAGATTTTTAGATAATTCTATGACAAAAAATTACATTTTTTCCGATCAAAGGGGTATGCCTGACTATGCCATCTTCTACTTCTACTGAATCTGCCATTGTAGTAGAAGACTGCAGGGTAAGTTGTAATTGATCACATTATTGTCCTTTGGTCTTTATGGATCTATAATTGTCTCATTGGCAGTTATACCACATCTCCTTATTTTCATATTGTTCATCTAAAAGCTATTTAAAACTTACTTTTGGTGTGAGCGTCTATGAAATATCAATTTGGTTACTTCTTTGTTCATTTTTTGGTACAAGTAGTGTACATGTAAATAACTTTCAATTCATCTTCCGGTTAAAAATTATTGTGAACAATATTTTTTAAGAACTAAGTGGATGTCCTCTTAAAATCTAAAGATATTATTTTTGGAGGCATGAAACATATTTTTTTAAATTCACCTCACTACACTGGCTAATATTATTAGGGTTGTGCCATTCAAACTTCAAATCCTGGATCTATGCCTTAAATATTACTAAATCAATTATGTACAATAAGAACATGCTGACAAAAAATACACAGTTGTGTTTCATACTTGGATATCTTAAATCAAATGAGCTTTCTGGTATGTATTTAAAATTCAGTGTATTAGTAGCTTGTTGTTGTTTGTTTGTTGTCTAACTAATGTTTATCATTTCCTTTAATTCATTATCAAAACAATCACCAGCTTAATAACAAACCTGCTGTATCAGCTCTTCTGGAACATTCAGCAGACCCTGAATAAAAAAAAAGTTTATCTGTAATATAGTCCCAGTTGCCAGTTTAACCTGTTGACAAGACATTTCTTAACCATCAAATTCTGTTTTCGAAATCAGTCCCACATTAAAGTTTTTTTTTACAGACTCAACCTTCTTGAAATAAAATTTAGCAAACTGTTTAAAGCTACTTAATTTCATTTGTAATTTTATCTGCTGACATTATAATAAAACTGTTAATAAATATTTCAATTTTTCATGTATAAAATACATGTATAAAAAGTTAAAAAACTATTGACCTGTTTCCCAATATTAGACAATTTGTGCTATGTTAGCAGTAGACATTTTACAGAAAAATTTACCCAATGCAAACATTTCACTGTCCAATTAAATACATTGTACACAGTAATGAACACAGTGAAGATTTAACTGCCTCTTCTAACATGTCTAATGCAGAAACTGGCAAACAAAACATGATATGAAAATAATAAAATTGAAAATGGAAATGTGGAATGTGTCAAAGAGACAACAACCCGACCAAAGAGCATATAACAGCCCAAGGCCACCAATGGGTCTCTCGCTTGGACACACACTCCATTATCTTGTATATTATAAGAGCATAAACCTAAACCCAATATTAGGCTGTGTTTACTATTCATAATTAAGTAAAGTACAGTGTCACAAGTGTTAACATGTAACATGTATTAAAGAAAGAAAAAAAAAGAGCATTGAACAGTCAGGGGACTTATTGAAATAAGTGATTTTTAAATCACTTATTTAAGTAGCAAATTCGAAGTTTTGTCACAAATTGTGATTTTGTAGTTTTACCAAAATTTTAAACACATAGGTTTAGATAATATCTTTTCATTAGTAAAATTGAAAAAAATGAACTTTTTGCTTCATTTAAGCAGCAAGGTTTATGCCTTCAAAGCAATCATTTAGCTGCAAATTCTATTTTAGTTGAAAAAATGCTATAAAAATGGCTTTACATAATGAACTGATACTTTCTTAACAGATTTTTCCCAGCAGTGGGAGCATTTTTCCTGTAAAATTCAAGGTTTCATCTTATAGATTATGTAATAAAATTCTACTGTTCGCGATCAAAATTTCACTGTTCAGGGGTGTTGAAATTAGTGGGGGTTATTAAAATAATACTTAAAGAAGTGATTTTTTGGAAGGAAATTGAGGTATGATACTTAAGTGATTTTTATGTCATTATCCTAGATTTAGTACAAGGTCATCACCTGACATGACCCGGTCATCCTATCAACACAGATGTTGGTTCTGATAATTTTAGCAACATCATTATTCCCTGGATCACTAGTATTCTATATTTAAAGCTACAATAAAATTAAATCACTTAGTCTAGTGATTAATTTGTACCACTTTAATAGGTGATTATTAAAGAAAGACAACTCTTACTTCCAACCTTTATGGACATAATGTTACTTGAATCAGGGATTTAGAAAATCGCTCATTTAAGTAAGTCCCCTGACTGTTGAAAGTCCAATGAAAGACTTAATGACAAAATCTAAGACTCATTTTACTTTTTAATGTAGTTAGTCATGTGTGTAATCATTCCATGGAATTGTAACCTTTAGCGTTGGATTTTTTTCTTTTTCACACTAACTGTTGTTTCATAGGTACATAAATTGTACCTTGTACCATGTACATGTACATTGTTGTTTTTAAGACATTATATGGCTAATATATATATATATATACCTGAAATGAAATATTAAATTTTTTTTAGGCCAAAATACAGGCCTCATCATTGCTTGTCCTGGTAAAAAATAATTCTAACCATACCTTGAATACATCTTTGTCTAACACAGGATTAAACACTGATGCCTTTGATGCAAAAGGATTATGTCGACCTTTGCCAATGACTGAAACAACACACACCTTATTGTCTTTGTTTGGCAAGGATCTGAAATGAAGATGGTGTTTGAAAAATTATCTTGTTAGATCATATATGATATAAATACAACAAGGGATATTTACCATTAATACATGGTTTCTGAGTCAAACACAGGTTATCAGTCTTACATTGTAGGACCTTTAGTGGTAAACAGGCCATTAACCAATTTTTAGGATATTTTCCCTTCATTTTCGTGTGGTTATTCTTAGAATTGGTTATGTTTGAGAAATAAAATAGCGCAACATGTCTAATTCAGCATGGTGAAAAAGGCAATGTCACAATTATATATATACAGTCAAGTCAGAGGCAAAATTTAATACGTAGTTTTCAATATGACTAGGTATAAATTATTTTCCTTAGTCGCCATGTTACATATTGATTTTCATATCTTACTAACCAAATTGAAACATTCAGAGCTCCAGTTAAGAATTCACAAATTGGGGTTTTTACCCATCATTTTTTGGTGATAGAGTTTTTTATTTGCATTATCAATTCCGATTCACCCCTCAAGCAAATATCAAATTGGGTTTTTCACCACCAAGCTCCTTAATGTATTGGGTTTTTTCATCAACACAATATTGAATATTTAGGCATGTTATAATCACATTATATCAACCCAAGATGTTTTTCCATCTTTAATATGTTTCTTTCTTTGTATATGTGCTAGCTGTTTTGTTTGGTTTATTCACTGACGAGCAATTGTACGTTTGATTTGTGTCCCGTTTTAAACGTTCTGCCAGTTTTGTATTTTCTTGCAACTTATATTAACTGCAGCTGGTATCACTAGTTGGACAGTAACTAATTACCTTTCTAGATCCCATATGATATCCTACAGTTTATTTGGGGTAGGTGTGGCTTAGTGTTAAGATTTTTATGTAATTTAGGTGCTGTAAGAAAGTTTTGCCAGTCCTTTCACCTATTTGCCAGATCTACTTTTTAATAAAAATAATAAGTAGCTCCCAGATTTAAGATATACCCCAAAACCTTGACCAGGTTTAAAGGGTGGTTTAATTACGGACACCACATTCAACTTCAATTTACAAATAATTCTGCAACATCAAATAAATAAATTACACTTGCCAATAAGACAGCTATCTTAAGCATACAGAACAATGAGACCAAAATAAAGAAAGTGTCAAGCTGCATTGACGTAAAAAAACGGATATGTGTATTCACTCATCAACTAAAAATGAAAAAAATAATATATAAACTAAAATTATACCTGAATGTTTTTGTTTAATTTAATTATCATAAATCTGGGTTAAGTTGTCCCTTATTAGAACTTTTGGTTTCCGATGCTTTCCAACTACATAACATGTCATAATTAATTTGGCCTTTCACTTTTTCCAACTGATTTCGTTCTTGAAGAAACCCTGTGTTTATCGTTCTAGCAATGTTCTCGTTAAGGTACATGTACGCAAACACGCCCGTGCGTTCGACGGACGCTTCATAAAACACTAGCTGAGTCTTGTTATCATCATAACTTGTCCTCAGCTATCAAAAAGAAGTTGAAAACATGCTTCTATTCAATATTTTTACCGGACATTTACTTTCGTTTTAATTCATTGTATGTTACGATAAGTCCCGAGCAATTCGAAAAAAAATATGAAAACATGACAAACGCTAATTGGAATAAAATGCTCCCCAGCGCGCAGCTTGATACGACCGCAGAGGTCGAACCCTGAACAGTTGGGGCAAGTATGGACACAACATTCAAGCTTGATACAGCTCTGAATTTGGATTGTGATTAAATATTTGACACAGCATAGGTTTCTGACACAGAATGAATGTGGTCTAAGAACTTAAAAATTTTAAATTGGACATTCACCTATTATGGTCCAATATCCAAAATCTAAATACATGGTTAGATTCAGCATATCAAAGAACCCCAAGAATTCAATTTTTGATGAAATCAAACAAAGTTTAATTTTGGACCCCGATTTGGACCAACTTGAAAACTGGGCCCATAATCAAAAATCTAAATACATGTTTAGATTCAGCATATCAAAGAACCCTAAAAATTCAATTTTTGTTAAAATCAAACTAAGTTTAATTTTGGACCCTTTGGACCTTCATGTAGACCAATTTGAAAACGGAACCAAAAATTAAGAATCTAAATACACGGTTAGATTCGGCATATCAAAGAACCCCAATAATTCAATTTTTGATGAAATCAAACAAAGTTAAATTTTGGACCCTTTTGACCTCAATGTGGACAAAGTTGATAACGGGGCCCAAAAATCAAAAATCTAAATACATGGTTAGATTCAGCATATCAAAGAACCCCATATATTCAATTTTTGTTGAAATCAAACAAAGTTTAATTTTGGACCCCGATTTGGACCAACTTGAAAACTGGGCCCATAATCAAAAATCTAAATACATGTTTAGATTCAGCATATCAAAGAACCCTAAAAATTCAATTTTTGTTAAAATCAAACTAAGTTTAATTTTGGACCCTTTGGACCTTAATGTAGACCAATTTGAAAACGGAACCAAAAATTAAGAATCTAAATACACGGTTAGATTCAGCATATCAAAGAACCCCAATAATTCAATTTTTGATGAAATCAAACAAAGTTAAATTTTGGACCCTTTGGACCTCAATGTGGACCAATTTAATAACGGGGCCCAAAATCCAAAAACTTAATACACGGTTAGATTCAGCATATTAAAGAACCCCAAGAATTCAAGAATAAAACCCCATTGAAATTGATCAAGAAATAAGCAATTTATACGAAGTATCTTCTTTTGCACAATACTGTGCAATTGAATATTTCTTGCTATTGCGCAATACTGTACAATTGACAATTTCTTGCTATTGCGCAATATTGTGCTATTGGATATTTCTTGCTATTGTGCAATACTGTGCAATTGAAGATTTCTTGCTATTGCGCAATACTGTGCAATTAAAGATTTCTTGCTATTGTGCAATACTGTGCAATTGAAAATTTCTTGCTATTGCACAATACTTATTAGATAATAATTTACACATCCTGTTTGGTGTGTATCTCCTACCATATCATTATTATTTGCTTTTAAATATTAATCAGAAATAACCAACTTAAAATGGAAAATTTTAAAAGAAAAAAAAAAGGAAAAAAAGAAAAAAAAAGAAAAAAAAAAAATCCCCCCCCAAATTTTTTGAACCCCCTTATGATTCATCACCCCCAAACTCAATCCCAGCCTTCCCTTTGTGGTATGGTACCTTGCAGTACAATTTCAGAGAGATCCATACACTTGAACAAGTTATTGTCTGGAAACTAGAAAAATGCTTATTTTTGGCCCCTTTTTGGCCCCCAATTCCTAAACGTTTCGGGCAATTTACCCCCAAACTCAATTCCAGCTTTCCCTTTGTGATATGGAACCTTGTAGTACAATTTCAGAAATATCCAAACACTTACACACAAGTTATTGTCATGAAACTAGAAAAATGCTTGTTTTTTGCCCCTTTTTTGGCCCCTAATTCCTAAAATTTTGAGGCAATTACCCCCAAAATCAATTACAGCCTTTCCTTTGTGATATGGAACCTTGAGGTACAATGTCAGAGAGATCAATACACTTACACACAAGTTATTGTCTGGAAGTTACAAAAATGCTTATTTTTGGCCCCTTTTTGGCCCCTAATTCCTTAACTGTTGGTACCATAACCCCCAAAATCAATCCCAACCTTCCTTTCGTGGTATTGAACCTTATGGTAAAATTTCATGGAGATCCATTCACTTAAACTAAAGTTAGAGTGCGAAAACCAATGTGTCTTCGGACGACGCCGGACGACGCCGACGACAACGCCAACGTCATACCAATATACGACCAAAAAATTTTTAATTTTTGCGGTCGTATAAAAACGCTGAGAAGATCGAAATGTTTTCATAAACACGTGTACCTTTTGAGCAACTGGAGCTCTGAAACATGTGGTACAAGTAAGCTTGAGAAGAGATCCTTACTAGAGTATAGTGATTAATAATGCTTGACTTACTGAAATTAAAATTGTTTAGAAAACATCTTTTTTAAAGTCGTGCAGTCAGTATAACAAGTTAAATTTGGCTAATTTGTGAGGGAAATTGAGCAAGGTGACCTCCAACATGGCAACAAAAGGGAGATAAGTCTTGCTAAAATTTTGTCATTCGATAACAATACTTAAAAACATTGCAGCAATCCTCTTTAAAAACATGATGAATAAAAAGATCCAGATTTAAAGGACAAGGTCATTATTGCAAAAGATTTTTGGCAAAGTAATGATTAACTAAACATGGCAAAGAGAACATCACAGTGGGGTAATATAGAATACCAGGGAAGCCAATCCTGCAGAGTCCCTACCTGTATGATATATACACTTGTACATTGTAACTACAATGTATGAAAGTTAAAACCGTAATACAAAGTACCACAGGACAGAACATAACAGAACAAACTATTAATGAGGGCAACAGGAACAGGGGGACGGACCTGGAATATCTATTCTACTCCATTGATTGCAATGCTGGAGTTTAATGTCACTGTCAGCAGTCTGCCGTAGTCTGCTATGACCAGTTTTTCATTGGTTGAGGACATGGAGGAAGTGAGAGTGCTGAAGAGAAATCTGACCTACAGCAGAAATCCAAGCAATCCTAGTTAACCAAGATCAATGTTCCTGCCATGAACAGTTTAAAATTCACAACCTCAGTGCAGACAGTCTAGTGATGTACCAATTATCAGGTTGTATTAGCGTATTTTGCATGTATTAGGTTGTTAATTTAATTCAGGTAATAGAAATTTGATCATGTTCATTGTGCAACTGCCTCATTTCAATCAATAACTCCAATTATAAACTTTAATACTTGATCACTGAGACTGATTGTCTAAGGATGTGTTTTGAAAGTGGACTTAGTATGACCAAGAGCATATGCAATGCATTGCTCTTTACTTATATTTAGATGCACAAAAGAAGTGCCAAATACATTTGGGATCTCGCATGATTATACCAATCAAAGCTACCTAATTGGCTCATAACTGTACAAATAGTTTTTAGGATATTCAAAGATTTGTATAGCAAGACTTACTATACATATAATTTCTGCTTTTCATCTTTTTTCCATCTGTGCTTTTTTGTGTTTTGTTTTTATTGAAACGTTGTTGATTTTTCGTACTATTCAAAACTATATCAGCTACATTCTTAACTTTAATTTTATTAAGATAACAACGCCTATTTATACTATTTGGTCGGTCGAGACGTCGGATTGAACGGTATGAAAACCGTGGTAAATTCACACCCAATCCGACGTCGGATCAACGGTATGAAAACCGTGGTAAATTCACACCCAATCTAACGTCTCGACCGACCAAATAGTATAAATAGAAAATATAAACAAACATTATATTGTTTACGTAATCAGTGGTAAACAGTCAGGGGACTTATTGAAAATAAGTGATTTTTAAATCACTTATTTAAGACTAAGTAGCAAATTCGAAGTTTTGTCACAAATTGTGATTTTGTAGTTTTTCCAAAATTCTAAACACATAGGTTTAGATAATATCTTTTCATTAGTAAAATTGAAAAAAATGAACTTTTTGCTTCTTTTAAGCAGCAAGGTTTATGCCTTTGATGCAATCATTTAGCTGCAAATTCTATTTTAGTTGAAAAAATGCTATAAAAATGGCTTTACATAATGAACTGATACTTTCTTAACAGATTTTTCCCAGCAGTGGGAGCATTTTTCCTGTAAAATTCAAGGTTTCATCTTATAGATTATATAATAAAATTCTACTGTTCGCCATCAAAATTTCACTGTTCGGGGGTGTTGAAATTAGTGGGGGTTATTAAAATAATGATACTTAAAGAAGTGATTTTTTGGAAGGAAATTGAGGTATGATACTTAAGTGATTTTTATGTCATTATCCTAGATTTAGTACAAGGTCATCACCTGACATGACCCGGTCATCCTGTCAACACAGATGTTGGTTCTGATAATCTTAGCAACATAATTAGTCCCTGGATCATTAGAATTCTATATTTAAAGCTACAATAAAATTAAATCACTTAGTCTAGTGATTAATTTGTACTACTTAAATAGGTGATTATTAAAGAAAGACAACTCTAGATCTTACTTCCAACCTTTATGAACATATTGTTACTTGAATCAGTGATTTAGAAAATCGCTCATTTAAGTAAGTCCCCTGATTGGTAAATTATGTTCATCCCATGCAACGTAAAACTATAACTCAAGTGATCGCCTGGTTTCTTTCAAATTGTCTACATTTTAAATTCGTAGAGGTACAAATCGATGTTGTCCCTATTAGATCAAATCATGAATCGTATTTGTACTATGTCGCTTCAAAACTGTTCAACATGTTCAAAGAGATTTACGAAATTCAATAAAATGTCGGCCATTAAAAATTTTATTTCGTTCCAAGGGAAATAAATCAAAATGGTCTTGCTAAAAGATGAATTGCAGAACCGATATCAAATTACGGCGGGGAGTTCTAATATACAATGGAAAAGGGGCATGGCGCCAATTTTTTTCCTAAAAAGGGCAGGGCATCAAGAAAACACGACAAGGCGACATACCACACTAAAACCTCCTGCAGGAAACACTAATTTGATGTCACAAAGCCATGACATGCAATTTTATTAAGAGCTGAGCAGATAGATGCAGAGGAAGCAAGTTAACTCTTACCATTGTAAACTCGTACCACGTAAACTCGTACCAAAAAAGTTAACTCGTACCAACGTAAACTCGTACCACTGGGAAGTCGTACCAATCAGAACTCGTACCACTGCAAACTCGTACCATTAAAAATATATTCAAAAATACGAATGTTTTATGATTTTTTTTGGGGTAAACTTAACAAAAAAAGTTGAATTACTTGAATTGTATACTAGATTTTAATAAAAACTTAGACATAAATACGAATGTTTTATGATTATTTTTTTTAAGCTTTATACAAAAAATTAAAATATCTTTGAATTTTATACCAGAATTTAATGAAAACTTAGACAAAATAATATATGATATATATGTGAAATAATATATGATATATATGTGAATAAAACATAAGGTGTATTTCTTGAGAGAAAAAAATAGTAATATTTGATGTTTTGTTAATTTTTATACATGAATGTTCTTGAAATTGTGGTAAATAAAGCATCAAAATGAAACATATTCTTTGTTATTCTGCCAACACTACCATTACGCCTACTGGTCATTCACAATACCATTAGACACATCATTAAAAAAGAGGGGCGAAAGATACCAGAGGGACAGTCAAACTCATAAAAAAGACAAACAGAAAAATAATAGTACACAAGACACAACATAGAAAACGAAAGACTAAGCAACACGAACCCCACTTAGAACCGAGAGTAATCTCAGGTGCCATTTCATATATTGGCTACTTTTTCTAAAAGAACTATGCATATCTTCCACTACAGGTGATATTTATAAATTAGAAGAATGATAATGACCTATTATTTATATCAAATAAAAGCATGGTCATATTCTGCTACAAAGTGCTGAATATTATATAAACATATATTATTTCATACTTTCTAACTGTTGGTCATAAACAATTTTAAACCTTTAAAACACAATTAATAAATTATTTCATTAAATAAAATTCCTTTTAGAAACAATAGAAAAATACACAAATCTATTCAATGTTACCGATTTGGAATGATTAAAAATTAAATCAAATAGTTGTCAGTAAAAGTTTAAAAAAGAGTCTAATCTGCCACGGTTTTCTCTGTGGTACGAGTTAGCCGTGGTACGAGTTTGCATTGGTACGAGTTGACATTGGTACGAGTTTACAATGGTACGAGATAACTATAATTCGATGCAGACAGTGGGATGACCGATTACACTACTTACAGACCACTCAATGCAAGTGCTTGGGAAGAATTGTAACCCTGTGATTATCTGCTAATCCATATTAGGAATTGTGGTAAGAGATGTTAGTAGTCTGATTTTTCTGTTCGTTGGGCAGATAAATTGAAAAAAAAACCATCCCTGACAAAAAAATATTTTTGCATCTCAACAGTTATAAAAAATATGACAGAACCACAGGCACTTGTTTCTATCCATGGGAAGAACCACAATCAACGTATATTTAGGTTGATAGTGGTTCTTCCCATGGATAGAAACAAGTGTCTGTGCCAGTCTGTGGACAGAACTTCAGAAGCAGACGATAGACGCCGTGGCGGCATGGAGATTGTGGCTTAAGATTGACTCGATGTCATAAAAAGTAAGAGCAAGGTTTTAAATTTCTTAACTGACCTTCTACATATTTAAATACAATGAAATAATTACTGAAAATCAAAATCTAGTGGAAACTGAAAAATATCCATGGGCGCCGACATCTTGAACTGGGTTCATAACCAATTTCCGGAAACCAGATGAACGACTGTTTTCCTTGTCAACGACAAATCGGACCGACACAACTCGGACCTAATTAAAAGACAACTCGGACCACTTTTAAAGACAACTCGGACCACTTTTAAAGACAACTCGGACCAGTTTGAAAGACAACGTTAACTCGGACCACTTTTGAAGGCAAAAACAAAAACTTGGGAAGAATACAATGTACTTGGACCACTGATGCTGATACATTATCTACAGTTTATGCTTTGTTCCGATTTTTGTTTTACATGTTTTAGTAGGTTTTATTATCATTCAAATACGAGAAATCGGGTCAAATCGGAGAAAATAAGTTTGCTACATTCTCGCCTGTTTTATATTTCATTTATTAAATAAATATCTTGACTACGCAAATTCACTTGTATATGCAGACGATCACAGATAATAGGTAGGAACCTACTTTCTGATAAGACTGGGAATAGCTGCCAGTAACTAAGGTTTTGGCACAATACTTTATTTAGGACAACGAAGGTAACACTTGCATGTTTTTGTTTATTAGAGGTTTCTTAAAACGCAAACAAAAGACATTTTACGATTTTTTAATTAAAAAAACAAAATCCACCAGTCATTTTATATAACCGAAAAGAAGAGACTTTGATTCGTGAAACAAAAAACATTGATTGCACTTGGACCAACTTAAACGCCAACGAGACCTTCAACACGAAGCAAAGAAATAGTAAGAAAAGCTCATCAAAGATAGAAACAGTCATATTTTAGTACGTCAGACGTGTGTCTCGTCTACCTAACTGACGCTAAAATCAAAATTAATATTTTCCCATAATGTGTTGTAGTTTAATTGCACACACCTATATTCTCAACTTTACAAGAACAATTGATATTATTATTTAGTTTAAACAATATTTATTCAAATAAATCGATACATATAGTATGTAATTATGATACATGAAATAAATAAATAGGATTCAGAAACAAGCAAAATTGCTTTTATTAATCTGTCTCCTAGTATACAACTAAATTTCTTATATGGTCATTATCATTAAGTATGGCATGTTCTGAAATAGTCAGTTTGTAAAAAAATAAGATATTGAAGTTTCATAAAAAATACTGACTAAACGCGGTAAATAGTATAGAGTGTTGTGTGCAGAATGAAATGCTTAGATTTTATAAACGATCGACTCATTTGCATCAAGAATTGAATCGTTTGGTTTTTATTAGATATTTCTGTACTAAAATAAATAAAAGGCTGTTTTGCTCGTCCGATAGTACGGTTGAACCAAATAGCAAGGTATTAATGTCAAATTGAACTGGAAAATCTGAAATTGAAGCCAGAAGTTCCTGCCTTAAATTGGTATATACTGGACAGGATAATAGGAAATGAGAATTTGTTTCCACTTCACCACAACGACAGTTTGGAGAGTCTACTAAATTCCGAAGAAATAGATGAGAATTTAATGAACTACTCTGAGTATAAACAAATGAATAAAAAAAATTATGAGTATAAAATATTATATTTTATGAGTATAAAATTTTATGAGTATAAAATGAGTACAAACAAGTCTGTTCCAAAACTTGGTTGTCGCTGGGAAAAATACTCTGAGTATAAACGGGTCCGTGTATTATATTGAATAACATTATTACATTGTCTTGTATAATGGTCATGTCTACTTCCCACTGAATCGGGCATAGCGTCTCTAAGATAATCTGGTGTTTTATTGTTCAAAATTTTATGAAAAAGGACTAATCTATGATTGGATCTTGTTTCGGAAAATTTTTCCCATTTAGTTTCAGTATACAATTTATTAATGATCATAATTAGTTTGGTCCCCCCCCCCCCCTCCCCCTGTAACAATCCGCGCTGCATCAAGCTGGATATTCTCAAGTTTATTGATTAAACTTTGATTTTGAGAATCCCATGACAACGTCTGCATATTCTAATACAGGTCGAATAAATTATATATAATTTTTTTCAAAAGTAAACCTGTCAAGTATATTTTTCACTTTCCTCATTATGCTTATTCTTGTGTATGATTTTTTAGTAATATATTCAATATGGTCATTCCAGCTTCCGTTATTCGAAAAAAGACACCAAGATTATTTCACAGTGCATGCATTTTATCTTTGTTAATATGTTTTTACATTTTCTATGAATTCTTATTTTCTACAGATATAATTTAGGAATGATGATCATTGCTGTATTTCTATTGCTGGTCTCAAAAGTTAGTAAGTAACTATGGTAGTAGATGAAATCTTCAATATACCATGTATACGATTTATCTGTCTGCTCTATCCTTAACTGAACATTTGCATGTTGTTTTTTCTGAAATACTGTTGAATTAATTTTGGAATAAATCAGATAAGTTATCCATATTGTAGAGAATTTCATTATTTTTCGTGAGGTACTTATTCTTGGTGCATTCATACGTACAGAATAACCATGTTTTTTTTGGTGTTGAACACAATGATACATTCCAAAGGACTAATACGTAACTATACGCATTTTCTTTTATGCATGCCATGCAAATTGGTACCAACGAATTTAAATTATTCAAGTAAAAGTTTTTTCCCGTTTTTTTTTTTTTTTTAGTTTTAACATTTCCCAACGTTAAACTTTATTCTAATATGGCGTTCTTCAAACGCTTTGAGTACACACCCGTGGTAAAATATGAATATGTTGTTTGGGCTGTTCCGATCATACTCCCACGTCATATGCTATTTTATGAATTAGCTCCCCGACGTCATTGAGCGATGACGTAATAATATAAGCATTTTACGATATCGCTCGTGGTAAAATATTTAGCATAAAGGGCCAACTCGTGGTAAAATCAGTATAAATTAAAGCCCCCATGAACGATTTCTTAATTATATATCGGACGTTAAACTTAATTATTAGTTGGACATTAAAGAAGAAACTTTAACATAAGCGTTTTTAATTACATCGGAATCGCCATAATATTATAACCTGAATGAACATCGTGGCAGAAAGAAAAGCATACGCATTTTTTAAGGAATAAGTCAGAAAAAAGATAAACTACACCAAAGTACTTTTTCATTTGTAGCAAATAGATCAGATTCAAAATATTTTTACTAATTTCGCACAAGTCGATATAAGTGAGATGCTCGATTGTGCCCAGTAAAGCTGTCTTTGGATCATTAATCAACAATTTCCAGAAACTTTAAAAAAGAAGAAAACGAGTCAGAAACACCATTCAGTGATAATCTCAATTGCATATCACATGCATCAGCAGTAACAATGCAAAATATCGATTTATAAATAATGTAAATGTTTCAGCTCTTATAGTCCTTGGCTGTCAATCGTTGGGCGTTGGTCGTTTTGGATTAAGGTAACTGATGCATGAATTTTAAAAAGTGTTGGTTTTTATTTTTTACACTAAAGAATAAAAAATAAACCATTTTGAATATTTTCTTAATATTTTCTTAATCCATATCTGCGTGTGTTAACTACTTCCTGAAATGGGATGTCATTATCATTTTGTATCATACCATACATATAATGACATTGTTATACTTTAAGGACAGTCTTATTACACATTACACGAATTACGATATACAAATTGTTGTCAATTATCCTTAATATTACTACGACTCACTATTGACAGTTTTTTGTCTTCTGGTATTTTAAGTTATGTAAAAGAATGTTTTATTTCCCTACTTCTTCTTTATGTTTATAATATCTTAATCATGATCTTGGAAATCATAACACCTTTAGAATAGCTTATAAATGTTGAAAAAAGTCATGATCAAATTATTAGTTGCCTTTATTATATTCAAGACAATTGTAAGTTTATTGAATATCATGGATGCATAAATTTAATTAGCATATATGCATAAATCAATAATCCTTAAAAATATGAAGGTTAGAGATATTCTGTATTGGGCATTTTTGGCCTGTACGTCCTTGGCTTGTATAAAACCAGGTTTAATCCACCGTTTTCTATATAAGGAAATGCCTGTACCAAGTCAGCAATAATATGACAGTTGTTATCCATTCGTTTGATGTGTTTGAGCTTTTTATTTTGCCATTTGATAAGGGACTTTCCGTTTTGAATTTCCTTGGAGTTCGGTATTTTTGTATTTTACTTTTTTCTTATATTGTAAAGGATTTCGTAATTTTTCAACAAAATTTCCTGGTTTCGTAATGAATTCAAACCATGTTATTAATCTTTCGCTTCCATCTTTTTTATCTTGAGGGTTTGGTGGGTTTAAGATTAGAAAATCATCTTTATCTTTGTATATTGTGGTCAGGATTGTCTTTCGTGCACTGGTGTTGAAACATATACTGTGATCGACATGCAGTAATGATGAGGTATTATGCATATGCAGTTGTAGCGTTACACATACTCCTACGGTAGGCACATGTAGGAAAATAATATTTATATAAATAAAAGAACATTAACGGTACCACTTTTTCTGCACCAGATGATGCGCATTTCGACAATAAATGTCTCTTCAGTGATGCTCGAGGCCAAAATAATTGAAAATCAAAAACTTATTAAGATGATGAAGAGCTTTGATCCAAAAAGGACAAAAGGTATTGTCAAAGCCGGACAAGGAACATGAGTTTTGCATGAGGGAAATGTATTCCTTAATTTAAAATAATTTCTAAAATTTTGTAACAGCAAATTTTAAGACGGTTTTAAAAGTATTAAATGAGACTTGTGTATGCGTAAGTAAATTCAGCCTTTTCTACAGATTTCCGATGTATAGTGTCTTAATAATCTCACCACATTTTCAACTTTTTTTTATGTTTATTTGTGATATTTTTGTTCATTGAACTGATACATTCAAATGTATATTTATTTAGATATAAAAGATGACCGAATCTATGTCAATGATTTTAAACAACAGTAAGAAGTAACTATCTAACGCCTCCATAATTGATTTACATCTCAAAGTTGAAGCACACTTCTATATCTGTAGCAGCGAGATACTTGCCAACTTGTTTGTCAAATTACGTGCCATTCTTTATTCCC